GGAAAGGTGGTTCAGATATAGACAGGAAAAAAATCTACCGTTACACACATCATAGCGTTACAAGTTCTCATTAGCCCCATGAGATGCTAGTTGAGTAGGACTTAACAAAACATCATTTTATTTCCCTTCTCGTAATTTCTAGCAAAGTGGCGAAAAATTCTGCAGAATAATCCTTCAAATATCTTTGAATTTATCTTTTAAAATTTCTGCAAGCAATTGACACTACATCTTAACCAAAAAGAACCTTGCATTAATCCAAAAATAAAGTTTGACGTCATCAGACTACTCGAGGCTCTCTGAGGTTAAATCGAAAATTACAATAAATTAGAAACCGTTCGCTGGTCAAAGAATATCACAATTGCTGACAAGAACTAATGAAACGAAAGAAATTGAAGTTTTTTTTACACAAATTGACAGAAAGAGTTAAAATTAGAATGTCGTAGAATCAAAGGAAGAGATCGTAATTTAAAGTGCCACTTAATTCTAAAAGTAAATACGTCACCGTTCTCTTGGATTTTGATATAAAAAAGGGTATTGATACGACAGTAAATCGTATTTAGATGGTTATAGAGGTCTATTTAGTGCTGGATATCAGAGACAGACATCTCTGGATGTTGGAACTTAATCACCATGCATATTCATTCTGACCGTAAACAGAAACGTGTAATCGTCAATATAGTTAAAGGGACAAATGTGGCATTTTGGGGGGTTGGTTTTAGTCTTGAATATTATTTGTTGATAGTCTTCAGAAGTACTAGAATACTAGAATCGCATAATCCCTTCAAAAATACTTCAAATTAGGAATTTTATCAACATTATGTCATTTCTAAATATCACAGAGTATCTTTCAACACATGGCTTAGCCAAAAAAAAATTCCGTATCTGAGAATAAAGTATGATTGGTAAAAAAAAAATGGCGCAAATGACGGGGAGCTGTGAATACAATTATTAATTAGCTTAGCTAAAAAAAATCCCTGTTTCTGAGACTAAAGTATGATTGGTCAAATGGATGGCAGCTATAGTCCAAATCAATCATGCTTCTAGAAATATGAAATTTCTAAAACAAAAAACGAAAGAATATATCTCGAGCTACATTTCAATCAGGTTGTTCTTGGTCTCTCTTTTTTCATGTTCCTTTAGAAACGGTACGATGATTATCCACATCAAACTAGATGATCATTATCATCATACCGTTGCTAAAGGAACATGCTCTTTTTTATACTTTGAACTATTCTTGTTTTATGGATAATCTATATGTAATGAATCGAATAAAGATAGAAGTTATCAGTAATGTTACAAGTTTTACATTTCATTTAATATCAGATCTGTTGTGTTCTTTTATTGTCAAGTTTGTCTGACACAGAAAACATATAAATTCCTATGGCTTGTCTCTATACGTATATAAAATTATCAATAATGGTATCAAACTCATTCTTGTCGTTTTATGGTTCATTTTTATACAACACTCGCAATTTAATGACATCTTAGAGCTTTTAATGTTCTTTTTACGAATGATTAAAGAGTAGTCTAGTGCTACTGTAATGACATATTTACCCCATTGTATACTGTGTTGTGTTAGCTGTTGACCGCCATAAACCCAGTTAGGTAAAGAAATGTAAGAAATAGCCACTCTATATTTACTTTCAATGAGTCAATGAGGTATAGAAGGGATGGAAAAAAAACTTTAATTCAGTAGTCCAAAAATATACAGATCAGTAGGACATAAAACCTCATTTCATATCATTAGTCCAATAAGATACAAAACAGTAGGACATACACGACACGGTAACAGAACAATAGGACATAAAACAGTATCATATAGAACATTAGGACAAAAAACTGGATTTCATTCCATTAGTCAAGTAATGTGTGGAAAAGTGATACACTTGCTTCTACCACGGATGGCCTGAGCTTAGTGTGTGTCAAATGCTATGAGTAATTACGTTATTACCATTGAAGGAAAAAGTTAAATTAAATGCTTTTCCAGCTACACGTAATAGAATTCCATTCCCCTTATCCGTAGTTATTTTTAAAATGCAAACCAACACATCGTTCTTCTCCTATTTAACAAGAATCCTCGAGTAGAGGTGGTATATTAGGTATACTAAGCGCCTATACCCCATTTAGAAATTGTACAGAAGTATCTTTAAATTTGTAGAAGTTTTGTAGTGTCGTTTTTTTTAATAAAAAATTCCAATACTTCTATACTAATCCCTATATTATATTTCTATATCAGACATAGAGTTAAGATTTCTATAAAGGTATAATAAAGTCTGTCTCTAAAGTATATATTATGTATGAAAAAAGAAAAAAGTTTCATATAACTAATACCCTATAGTATTCAGATGACATTAAGAAGTTCATTTTTACTTTTAACATCGTTTATGGTTCCTGGAAGACGTTTCTGTCGATTCCCAAGACAATATATTCATTCTCAAGAGTTACAACTACTACATCACTGTTAAAAATCTCGTGTTTCCTATTATGTTATAAATGGAGAAATCGGAGTAGTACATGTGCTATGGAAATAGCTGGTTATTGGCTAGTCGAAACCCGAGTTTTCGATTCTAGGGACATAAAACAACTTGTAATCGTTATTCCAGAACTGGACTAATACTTTATAAATACGGGGAAAATGGAAAACTCCCAGGGAAGAGGAAAATAGACGTAGGGACAATTGGAAGTGTAGTAGTATGAGAGGACATTTATTAGAGCGAAAGAAGAATACAGACACAATGAAACAGATCGGTTTAGAAGGGTAGACAGAAGAGATTAAGTGGAACTTTTAGGGCATATTAGATAGAATTTCAGAAAAAGAGGGAGTCAGATATCGGACAAGAGGGATACTCTCTTACATTAAGAAGTACTTCTTATACCTCCGTGCAGTGCTTCGGTTTACAGTACTCCGAAGACTTATTTAAGTCGCCGTCAATCATTTCTGTGTAGCTTTCAACGGTGTAACTCTTGAGTGATTAAAATTGGATTTAAAAATTTTTTATAAGTAGTCTCAATGGTCAAATAAAATTGAACTGAATTGCTTCCCTTGAAGTAAAACGAATATAGCACGTTACTATCTAAATTTTAATTGTTGATTCGCATTTGATAAAGATTCGGTTAGACTACAATTAAAATTCAAATTATTCCGGTTGTTGGCTCCAAATCGATGACGCTCAGGCTGACTATCAGATGCCAGTTTTGCTATTGTATAGAGTACTAGCTACGTACGACTACTGGTGGCAAATTATGTGTAAATGGTACACTAACATCAATTTCCACCATGCCAATTTTCAAGCAAACATCCTGTGGTTCCTGCAATTCCACAAACAACTAAGTGTTTGATGACGTTATCAATCGCGAAGGGTCTTGTTAGAAAAGACTTAGTTTTAGGAATCATAGACGTCTATCTGGGAATTGGTATGGTGCAAATTGATGTCATTTTTAGAAAACCTCCTCATAATCCCTTCAATTCAGTCCTCGGTCAAATTCACCAAGTTACTTGCTCTGCTGAAAATCTAGTTGGTCTTTTCGACCTGATCTTTATAAAGAGCATTAATTATACATAGTAAGAAGATATGAGAACATATCTTTAAGAACACTTAATTCGACTGTAATTGTATCATATCAGATGAGTCTTCTAGTCTAAAATCCAATGTTTTATCAATTTGACATTTATTACTCAAACTAAATAACTGACAACATCAATACTTGTCTGACTAATGTTACTAACTCGGCTTCAGAATTATCTTAAAATAGAGGCAAAGAGTGTCGCATTTAGACATTGATAGATATTAAAATAGATCAATGTAGACCATAAACAATGAATATTTTTTTTAAGTAGACTGATAACCAACAAGAAACCAATTTATCAAAGTAAATTGAGACTCCACTATCCAGACACGGATTTCAAAATCAGACACGACTCTCCCTAGATAGCTGTTAGACACCGGTTCTTTAGGCAGTGGCGACGCTAGCCACCCGACGCTGTGGGTGCAAATTGGGGGTCTAGGTTGTTATACTGAATATATTATGTATCTATATAATAATTTGTCCGAAATGACGAGGGGGTACGATTAAGGGTACAAACCATTTTCAAGCACCCCCTATCACCATTAGTAAAATATTCTTAACTTCTTTAACTTAATCTAGAAATTACATATCTTTATCATCTTTTCTTAAAATAAAACATACATATTTTGAATTCTACGGACACCTGACACCGCCTTACGATTGTGTTTACCAATTCCATAATAATAAAGCTAATAATGCTATATATTTGTGTTATATTTCAAGCTATATGTTTTTTATCAGTTTATGATATTGACTATGCTATGAATCACATCATTCAAGATGAAATCCGTCTTGTTAAAAGCCGTACGAATACAAAACAAACATTTGCCCACTTCTCGGGTTCACTGCCACTCAGGACATCCTAAGACTTCAAAATCAACATGTCATAGAGTTCTGTCAATACTCATTGATATGGCATCATACGATGAATTTATTTGAGGTTTTACGTCGATTTCTGCACTTTACTAGCACAGGAAGGGTTTCCATTGTTACAAATAAAACCCTACCTAACCCGAAATCTAATTGGTTAAAAAGAAAATACTTTTGCCATCAACTTATCATATCATAGCATCACATGGGACTTTTTTATCAATCATAATATAAATTTTTGGTTTGACTTGAATAATGAAGAAAGGTGAAACAAGGTCATCTGACTTCCAATCGTCAAATCGATTTAGGGCCGGAAGTTAGTCTCAGTCCTAAGTATTACCTGAATCCAAAGAGTTTTCAACACTTCTGGTAGCTATGGTATACATTAACTACAAGTAACAGTATCAAGTTTCAGATTGTGACCGAGGTTGTTAGGGTACCAGACCCCTAGGCCTTGCACAGAAAACTGGAATGGAATAGAAGCTTTAAATGTTTTAAACCGTTTAATTCATGAAAGCACATCATTTATATATTAATTAGAATTAAATTCTTTATTGTTTCAGTCTGTTCGAGAAATACCCCGAAACTCAGAATATATTCCTACCATTTCGTGGCCTGACTGTAGATGAACTTCAACATAGTGCCAGATTGCGGGAACATGGACTACGGGTGATGTTAACTGTAGAAAAATGTATCGCCAGATTGGATAAACCAGAAAAATTACAAGATTTATTACATGATTTAGGGCAGAAGCACGTGGAGTTTAACACAAAAGTGGATTATATAGACGTAAGTAATTCTTTATTACCGTTATTACTGAAGTGGTATCTCGAGTAAGGTTAAAAATCGTCTATTGAATGCGGTTCCAGCCAGTGGAAGCCCCAGTGGGACGAAGTATAGGGACATTTATTCGCCCAAGAAAATTGTTTGTTACCTCAACTGTACCTCCACTTCATTTCAAAGAAATTTCAAATATAATCTTTATATACGCGAGAAAACACCAAATCAATTTGGCCTACCCTTTAATTTATAATTCCATTCCCATTCGCTGTCGTGTTTCTTTACAATTTTCACATTCTTCCATGAAATGTCCAGACGGATTAAGTAATATATTTTGACATCAGAGAGATATTTTAATAAAATAGTACACTAGACTGAGTAATCAATTTATTTCTAGTATATTGAATTTATTAGGTTAATTAGACTGTACATTATAATGTAGACAATATATATATATCACTGGAGGTTTTTTATTACAATGAATGAGTACCGGGTATTTAAGAAATAGTCTTCTGAAGTACTAGAATTACACTTCAAAATAGAAATGTCACTTTCTTTTTCTATATTATGTCTTTTCTATATATGGCGGATTCTCAAGAAATGACGAGTCGTCATTTTAACTTTCAAACAATGTATAATTATGTACACGTATGCATTTGAAGGATGAAATTTCGATGGTGTGCTCTGAACATTATTACTAATTAGCTTGGTTAATAAAAAGGTTTTTGAGGCTAACGTAAGATTGGTCAAACAGATGGCGAACGTGGTCTTTTAATTATGTAATAATATATTTTATCCTTATCAATTTCAGATGGTAGGACCTCAGTTTATTCAAGCAATCCGTCCAGTAGTCAAATCCGACTGGACACCGGAAGTGGAGGACGCATGGGAAGACTTTTTTAAATTATTGATCTATTTTATGAAAGAAGCCATGTGTTTTTAAAAAACATCGTCAAATTCAAACATACCAAATACACGATATAAATGTAGTTCCTGAAAATGAAAATATCAAATATACATGTAAACAAGATGACAATGGAGAGTACAGTGAAGGTGCTGAGGAGATTTTTATATATTTTATAGGACCTTGATTTAAGAACAGTCATCTCCCTGCACCAATGATACCTAGTAGCACGTGTGACCTCGTTGCTTATGCGTTACCAGTTACTAGTTAGGCGAGGCAAGGCTGTTACTTTGAAACAATGCCTAAACCACTTTGAAACAATACCTAATGACGACTTTCTAGTGTAAGAGTAGATACGTAATGATAAATGTCCATATGTGAGTGGATGTAAAAACAAGCAAACATCACAATACAAAACAGGGGCGGGGTTACATAGGTAAAGCCTGCTCCCCAATCCTTTTCATATCTATGTGAATAAAATATTGTTTAAAAAAAATACAGCTCCAGATAATTCGTTTCGTTTAATAATCGAGGGAAAGTCATGTCCATTACCACAACCAATAAAACGCTTAAAAAGTTTAGAAAGTTTTAACTCACCATGTGTGATTCTAGTACATTTTTATTATGATGTGGCTTTTCGTGTATAGAATGAAAAGCTTAGCTTATAAATGTCCCTTTCCGAGACTGTCCAATTGGTCAAACGGATGGCGAAATTGTTTCTTAAAGGGATAGGTGCGCCATTTTTGGAAGTTAATTTGAATCTTGAATTCATGTAAAAATAGTCTTCAGAAGTACTAGAAATGTACAGAAATCTCACAATTCCTTAAAAAATACTTCAAATTATAAAGGTTACTCACTATTCTTAGATGTCTTTTCATATAGAGTATCTTAAACTAGCGAGTCGTCATTTTAACATTCAAACGCGAATAAACCTGGACACACATAGACACACACATCAAATTTCGACGGTGAGCTCTGAAGACTATTACTGATTGGCATAGCTAAACTATGATTTGCCAAAACGAATGGCCTACCTGTCCCAAACTTAATTTGAAGTTGGATTTTGTCAAATTAAGAATTAGTAAAGTAAGCTAGAGAAAAAACGAAACAAAATATCTAGAGCTGTATTTTAATCGGATCCTTATTAATGAATGTAATTAACATTAATTTATAATTCATTATTACATTTATTAACATTAATTAAGTGTACAGCAAAATCAATTTGTATGCAAGATTTATAACATTATGTGGCTTGCATTTATATGTATATATTATATAGCTAATCTAATGAATGACTTGATAATAATTTACAAGTTCCACACATGCATTGTGTGCGATGAGGAAAATTAGGTATTAGCTTGCTCTTCTTCGATGTGCATAGGGTGTTGCACACGGAAGTTAAGTAAACAATGCAGCTTCAATATTTCGTTTAGTCTGTTTTACACTGTAATATATTTTTGTTGTAGCCACAGATATTCAATTATTGTGAATCAATATTTCAAAATGGCCTGTGCATCAAATATTTTTAGATGAAAATGGATTTCAGTTTTTAAAGCTTCTTGTTCAAATCATTGATCAAAATGTATCATTATAAATCGCAAGAATATAACATTATGTTTCAGTTGTGGACCGATAATAGCAGACCAACCTGTTCCACAGTAAACTACTCTATGAAATATTATTCCTATAAACAGACAATGATACCCCCGTAGGACCACTATCTAATAATGGAACACAAGAGTTTGTACCTGTTTAGTATTTCTATACACAGACTATAGCCTTGTGTTCCGCATTATTGAATTAATTTATCTATTCTATGTTTATTTGATGTATCAGGCTGTGAAGTTGTAAATATATATTTATATCTAAGTGCACTTATTTAACGGTGTAAGTTGTTATACATTGTTTATTTATTTATTTATAAACAGTCTGCTAAATCTGAAAATTTTGAATTGATTTTGAAAGGATGTAATCTAAATATTTGCTTTACCAACTGAAAGAGCTTGGCTATCCATAACAGTATATAAGAGACGAAGAGTTCTCATAAAATTCAATTTAACTTAGCTTGCCAGTTTGAACTATCGTCCCCTACAGGACGTTTCGAGCATTCTCAAGTTCATATGATTTTCAGTATTATAACGTCATCGATATATGGCTATTTGTATATGGCATTGAGTTGTATAGGCTGGTAAAGGAGAAATTTAGATGACTATAAGTTTTGGGTAGTCTTTTAATCATCCCATAACAAAGCCGTGACCAAGGTCGTCGTCTGATTCTACAGTCAGACACATGGTACCACTGTAATAACCGCGTCCTGAAACTTCAACTTGGACACTTTCTTTAGTATCCACTAAAACTTGTTTTACTATTTTACCAGAAAACTTAGAACTAGTTTTAGAATTCTGATACACCCTTGATTCACCGACCTTGACCTGGTTCTTGTGATGTTGTAAAGCCATTCTCGCTGTTACAGCGGAACCACAAGGCGATCTGTCCACCTGCAACAAAAATTACTTACATTTTTACATTTACTTTTATGCTCCTTTTGTCCTCATGAAGACGGGTTTGCAGGTCCCTTCGTCTCATTTATGCTATAATATACTATTCCAAAGACGCCTTTAAGCCAACAATTGCATGCCCAAACATCCCTTTCTGCTCTGTATACAAGAATGATTAACTCAAATAACTTCGAAGGAATACTTTGAAACAGAAAGGCTACTACTAGTAACCCCTTTCTTAGTAAATAAATAAGGGTAAAAAATGTTGCTTAAGCTGATGGATTGAATCGAGTTAACCATTGTCAGTAAATACATCGCCTGCTACTATGGAAGCGACAGAACTCAATTTTACAATCTACCCTGAGAACAGGCCTGCTTTAATCTATTGATATGATATGAATCGGTTTGTAAATTGCAACAAAACATATGAAATCGGGACAGATCTGGTGGAACTGTGGAAAGCCTTCGTCAAACACCCAAAGTAGCTATTCTACGCACCTGTCTTCATTTCCAGGAAAATCTATTTTTACTTGATTCCTGCCAGCTTCTAGAAATGGTAAAACACAAGATATAAGGAATTAGTGTGAAATCTCAAAATGAAACCATTGGCAATTTCCGGTATACGAGACATCAAAAGCTAAGAGGTATTGGGATTATGCTAATCCAAATTTTAAGTGTGAGAACCGAAAAATTAATCTTCACAATGTCAAGACTTTCTTATACCTTGACTACCATAGACATCTTTCTTGTATCATGGAAGTTTGTTAAATCAGTTTTAATGCTGTGTTTAGATAGATATTTCGAAATATACCAATATTTAGGATTATGTAGTTGTATAGTCCCAATTAAACACTAAGCATCTTTGGTTGGTTGATTACCTGGAACCCTCGAAACGCCAAGAGGCTAAGGAACGAAGGATACAAACCAGTTATATCTCCTCCTGCTTCCACCAAATCTTTCAACTGAGACAAGGTAACATCTAAACCTAAAGATTGTGCTGATAAAAATATATAGAAAGCTCCACCATAAGCTATATCTACTGTAACTGTACCATATTTTACTGTTTTTAGTTTTACGTCTGAAATCACGAAAACAATAATTATTGAGATACATAGAAGCGACTGAAACCCAGGTTGCGAAATTTTATTGGTTCGAAATATGTATACGGCGCAGCAGGACAGGAACAAGATGATGAGAAAAATCGGGATATATGGCATAGTGTTATGCAGAATGGTTCGCATTGTCAGAAAGAGTACAAATAGATTGTAATAGAACCAAGAGTACCAGAAAACACAGAAAGAACAATTCAAAAAACTGAAGAGTACAGTTTCTCTGGAAGAAAAGCGGAGGAAATATGTCAGATCGGAAATAAAACAGAACAATAGACCGTTGGAATGCAAATCAAAACGTTATCAACTTACCAGTTGCAAAAGTAAACGCCGGAACACTGATAAACCGAACGGAACCGGACTTGCGTCCATCATACTGAACGTAACACGTTACCGGACCACATGGGCACTGGATCGTTACCTCCGTCTCTGGCGTAATTACGTTTTTGACATAACCGTTGTCAATTGCATAGCGTCCAAGAGCAATAACGCCGTGTCCACACATTGTGCTGTATCCAGAATTATGCATGAACAACACTGCCATATTCGCTTCTGGAACAGTCGGTGGTACCAACAGTGCACCATACATATCACCATGACCTCTTGGTTCACACATTGCTAGTTTCCGATACTCATCATGTTTTTCTTGTAGATTTCGACGTTTTTCTAAAATCGTGTTTCCCTGTGGCTGTGGATACCCAGATAAAAGTATCCGAAGAGGTTCCCCTCCGGTATGCATTTCCACAGTTTTAATAGAGACCGTTTCATGTTTCCCCTCCATGGTTGTATAGTCACCTCTCCAACTAACTTTTTCAAATCGTTACACACGCTGTATATCGTAAAGTGTGATTCTATAGTTCTTGTTGAATAATAGATATCAAATTACCTTCTCAAAACGGTGTTACACTATGTATTATTAGGGTTGACTAGCAATGAGTGTCAGTCAGAACAGGTACGAATAGAATATTTTAAAGAGTCAATTATCACCTCTGCTACTTGAAATTAAATGTCTGTTGTCATTGCTAATGTAGCATCTACATCTAAGGGTAGTATATTAGATAATACTACGTATACTTTTAACACCTTTAATCCTAAACAGTAATACCACTTTGTTCTGACCTCAAGAGTCAAGTATTATAAAAGATTATGTATTGTGTTCATGTGTCAACAAATGTCAACATTCTCATGGTTAGTCCCTCGACCAATCAACGCCCTTCTTGCATTAGCTTTATCCAATCAGGTCTCAATACTATGAACGCTTAGGTTTCAACCAATCAGAATATAGATCAGACGATAGAGTTTAGATGTTCCTGTATTTATTTGTATTAATGTTCCTGTATTTTACCCGTATTGATGTTCTACCTGTATTGATGTTCCTATGTGTACCTGATGTTTATTGTTCCTGATGTTTTGTTTTGTAACAATGGATTTTACTTTATCTTGTTGGTCTAGTCTTCTAATGTAACCAGGTGGTAATTATACGTTGTTGGCGGGATCGAAATTCGATTAAAGTTTGGTCATCTTGAAACGTAGCCCGACGGTAGGGCCAGATCTATAGGGTTACTTGAATTATCAAGGGAAAAGCGAAAAGAATACCAATGTTTAGTTGGTAAACTTTGCACTCTTTCTACGTGACCGGTTATAATTAGTTTCATTGTTAATAAGTCAATGTCGTGTAATATGACCAAATCACTATTGTAAGTACGAATTGATGCAAAAAGAAGCTCTCCTATGAAGGTCTACAAAAGCTCTATCCTCTAAGTTTAACCCTTGTCTCTATTGTGACCCTCACTGTATCGTTTTCAGACTCAGATTCAAGATTGATTGTGGAGAATTCGTAGAGGAACCACCACCAGTCATCAGCCTATTGGTGTGTTATGACTAAATACCATATTAATATTATGTCTCGTCAACCAGCAGAGTCATCGGAAGTATGATAAACTGCTATAGATCTAAGGATGGGATATGCTAGGAAAAAACAAGAAAATGTTGTTGATACCAATAGTTTTAATATTGTTTGTCTATAGACACCAAACCTATAAGTTTCTGGCCACTGATATATCTGTGGTAATTGTCTAAAAACCCTTGAGCGAGCTGAAAATAAATAGAAAAAACATTCTTCATGTATATTTAAGGATATGGTTGACCATTTTTGGGGATTGATTTGAAATATATTATGTCCATATTCATGTGTGCGTCTCCGATCCCACTATCAAACTTAGCTAAGCAGACTCAATATTGCTGAAGAAACAATGAAAAAGAATTCGTAGGAAGTTCTTACCTCCTCGCATTCCTGTTGACCATAAGGTTGAAATGAACAATGAGGCGAGACAATCACACCAGGTTCTGTCCAGAGTCTACTAGATTGTGGTAGAGGCTCCTTTTCAAACGCATCCAGTACAGCATTTGTTATCCACCCACTTCTACTAATACAATGGTTAGTTGATCAAAAACTCTTTTATTTCAGCAGGTAAATTAACTCTATTAGTGCAATAAGGTAGAGGATACTGAGTTGACAAGTTGCGAACCTATTAACAAGGATTCCTACCTCAAAGCTGTAATAACCGAATCTTCATTAATCAGATCTCCTCTTCCAACATTGATTACCACGGGCTTCTAAAAATACATGTAAATTAGCAAAACCACTTGTCATCGATTTAACACTTGTATCAACATACATCAAACTTTGCTTCCCTTTGCAGCTGGGTCCACTATCAAAATGAAGAACTATGAGTTATGTTTGCTTACCTTCCTACAGATAGATAAAACACCTCCATTAAGGATACCTCTAGTAGCAGGGGTTGAAGGTAAACAGGCCACAATATAGTCGCAATTCACTAATATATCTTCTAGGTTCTGGCTGGAAGTTAAAACCAAAAAACGCAAGTGAGACATACACTATAACAGAGTATGATGGACACAGTTTTCAACTAACAATGTTATCGTTACCCACCAATAGTGTGGTGACACTGCTCGTGGTACAAGATTGTCTTAAAGCTGATATCGTTTTTGCGGTAAATCGATTACCAACCATCAGGTCGAAGACTCTGTTGGTTCACAAGATCATAGTTAACATCGTTTATTTGGTATTGATTAACGATCACGGGGTCGAAGACTCTGCTGCTGGACAAGTCTGTCTTTGAGATCATTCTTCTATTTACAATCAAATTATATTTTAGATTCCAAAACAGTTCGAGTTTCACTAATCAAGTAGGCTACTGTTGTTAGAAAGGTTCGGCGTATTCACCAAAAGCATACGAAGTATCTAATCACTCCTATGCCTTCCATCTCTTTAAAAAAGTAAATAGACCTATTATAGTTATTTTAATATTTGAGTAAAAATTGAGTTAGATTTTCTTCTCATATACATACCTGTAGTGGTCTATCGAGCTAAGTTTTTCTGTCGGTTCAACTCGAGTCATGGCCCAAGTCTTCATATTAAATATTTTACAAAGATCGGCCACTGAAAATGTAATAAATTGGCCAACTAGAAAATGTAATAAAGTACTACACAGTTTACGAACTAGATGATAAAATGTTTTCCGAAGTATAAATTAAATAGACAGATTCGCCATCCGTTCGACCAATCGTACCATAAAGGGGAATTGTTTAGCTAAACTAATCAGAATTAGCGTGAAAAGCTCAAAATTTGAGCCTTCAAATACATGTGGGTTCAGAATTATCCGCGTTTGAAAGTTAAAATATATATAGAAGAAGCCCATTGTTCCTTATATGTTCTGTGTCTAACAACCGGGTAACGTTTGTTCAAGAACATTACCACAATTCTGAAACAAGGATCTAAAACAGTGATGTATGCAAACTCACTAACAAGAATGAAAGATGTGATTAATAAATAAAAATTAACTACACACCTGATTTACCAATAATTCCTAGTCCAAGTATTCCAATTGTAACATCTGATAGAGATCGAAAATTGCCAAAATCACTGAAACAAATGTAAGAAAATAAAATAATCAAGAGTATCGATTTTATATCACCAATTCCCGTCTTGTTACTGTATCACATTGTGTGTCTAAAATCTAGAAGTCAAAAAGATGACGAGAACCCAACATGGTTCAAAGGAGCGACGGAATATTTTGTAAGGAATATAGCGCTGCTGTTGTTGTTTCCACTAATGCTGCTTCTGGTGCTGCTGGTGGTTTTTGGGTGATGCAGGTGATGATGATTATGATGAGGAGGATGAAAATGAGGCCGAGGATGAAAGCAATATTTCAACCCACGCCAATTGCTGCTGTTACTACTGATGATATTTGGGTGATGATGATGATGATGATGATGATTATAATGATTAAAGTTGGTGTTGGTGTTGATGATAATGAGGAGGAAGAAATTGCAGACAGGGATAAAAAAAATATTCATACAACTCTCACGACCATTGCTGCTTTTGCTGTTGCTGTTGCTGTTACTGTTGATGGTTGCGGGACGATGAAGATGATGATTGTGGGGAAGAAATTGAGGACAAGTATAAAACAATATGTAAACTCACGTCCATTGTTTTACTTGTTGGTTTTTATAATTTTCTAGAATACGTTTTTCGTGACACAGAATATGTGTGATAATGAACTGTGACATATTCTGGTCGTAAGCTTTGATATTCTTGGTGTATAATGGTCTCTCCTCAAAATAAAGAAATGAAATTAAATGAAGTTTAACTTCTTAAATAGCAACGAATGCAATTTTATTAGGACAGGCATGGATATGAAGCCTCGGTTTATTAGCAAATCTGAGCTACAGACGTATTTTCAAAGTGTTATCTCTGACCTGCATTACTGACAGGAAAACGTATTTGGTACCGTCTAGACCTGGTGTAAACGAGCAATCTTGGAAACATGTTGATAATAGAACTGATCATGGTTACAATGCAAACCTAAAATCTCATTCAAACTTGTCTAAAACCAGCTAAAATTGAGGTTACCTTTAATTTCATTAGTGAAGCCATTGCCTTGCTGTTCCCTAGAATAAAAAATACAATGTTTCTGATAAAGCGTTTACTTCTGTTTGGGACAGACAACAGCAAACTGAATCCGTAAGATCGAGCAACCTCATCTTAAATTCATGTATAGAATAACCAGTCAGTGGAAACTAGAAATTTGTATTAATGCTACGCTACACACCAGAGACGTTTCTAGGAAACATCTGGTGTGGGGGCCGATCAGGCACAGAGGGGGATTGGGGAATGGTGTATGGGGGAACGTTACGCAAGTTACACACGTTTTGTCTGTACAAACTAATCATGAACTATGTCAAGTTTAGTTTTGCAAATTTCTGAGCCGATGTTAGAGTTACAATTCTTCATTTTGCGAAATCATTTATAAAAATTATATGTGCTTACCTGCTGATAGACTGTGGAACCATTTTATTGTCGGATACTTCTTCATAATCGCATCGAAAAGATATTCGGCACCAAAGCAAATTTCTACTTTGCTTAAATCTGGTAATTGTTCTTCTGCTGGGGGAACACCTACAAATTTAAGAGACTGATGTTGATGCCCCGTGTCCGACCAAAGTTCCAACTGGTTCATCAAGAATCGATGGCAATTGTCAAAAATGGATCTGTGCCGGAATCGAGACAATGTGGCTCATCAGAGTCGATTCAACACAATATGTCATTGCAGTGTGCAATGAGGGAATTTTTCGATTTCAAACTTTCGAGGGATCTTGAACGTGCACAGCCTTTAGCACCGGGGCCTCGGTTTATTGTCCCATCCGAACGACTAGACGCTTTTCAATGTCATTTCCTCCCATCATCCCTGCATCAATGACAAGGGAAAACCGGGTTGAAAAATGTTCCATCATACCAAACCTACCGTATTTTCTAACAACAGAATAAATAGTGGCATTCTGTAAATGTTGTCGGATATAGTCTACCAGAATTTTACTGGGAACTAACAGCAAAACAATTATTTCGGACATTACGATACATTACACAACACGTGAATATGAAAAAAAAGCTGTAACCAGTCAGACTACATGACCTTATTATAATATACCTGTCTTGAATTCATTACCATGTACGATGGTTCGTTTAGGACACATTCTTTATCATAATTTCTTTATCATCACCGAATTATCAATGTACATTGTATATTTCATGTTATTGTTTCTTTAATATGTCCTAAACTAACCACCATACTACCATATCACCAAGTAATAATGTCGTTTATCGAATTGCTATATCATTGGAATATTTTGGCTGAGATCATAAAGCGATATCAGTTAAGTGCACATATCAGGAAATGGTAGACAAGTAGCAACAGGTATCAACTAACCCTACAGACCGAAAGATATAAATATCAACGAAAAAAGAACTTGTTGATAATTGTGTTCTCAGTCTTCAATTTACTTCGGTTGATCAGATTCTACCAGATTCCACCAGTTGCTTATAGTCGTAGAATATAAAGTTGCTCTCAGATCCTGCATGTCACAAAATTGATAGCCTTCTAACAAGGGTTTTGTTTGAGAAGGGGGTTGGAGGGGGGTTGGTCATCTACACAATGATAACTGTGAAATAACAAAATAATTAATACAGATAGAAACAACATTTAATTAAGCGTAAGATTGAACAAAGAAAAACATAGACAAAATAAAACATCTTCCAATATTTATCATTCTTGTAAGAGATTTTAAAACTAATGTTTTTATTCTGTTTGGCTTCCATTCTCTTTTGCACTTCCACAAAAAGCTAGTGCTTATCGTTTTGCGTCTTTAGATTAAAAATTGACGGCAAACTTGATGTCCATGGCAAAATCTGTGGCACGTTTACAACCATGCATTGGTCTAAAAAAAAAACTGGTTCCAATGTCCACTTGGCAAGTTATATTGTTGAGCAAGAGAGGCAAGAAGGTCGTAGTTCAGAGATAGCAGACACTGCGTAAGCGTTTAATTGTTGTATCAATCAGTAACTCAACATCAGTTACAGTTGGAGTTGGAGACAGCTCGGTATCAATCAGTAACTCAAGACAAGTCGGGTATCAATCAATTACTCAAGACAGCTCGGTATCAATCAATTACTCAAGACAGCTCGGTATCAATCAGTTACTCAAGACAGTTCGGTATCAATCAGTTATACTCAAAACAGATCGGAATCAATCATTTACTCAAGACAGGTAGACCCGGTAGGCTTATCAATCAGTTACTCAAGACAGGTCGAGACAAGCCACGAATAAAAATTGCTGAGAAATTGGGCATTTTCAAGAAATCATACTATTGGAATCGTTGTTGGATTCAAATTAATGAAACAACTACATATACTTAATATAAAATACAATTCACTCGGGCTAGTTTATTGGAATACGTCGAACCTTCTATCTAGTTACTATTGAATAAAATAACTACGACGTCCAAAGCAGAATAACATGAGGGATTTTCAACGCGATGCAGGCACGATTCGCTTCTTGTATTTTCACTGTACCTCCAATCCCACACCATACGCCAGACAGGACACCATACCTCATTTATTCACACCTTTTTACGACTTCATTTCTCAAAAATTCGTCACCGAAATAGTTAAATTATTTCCTTTGAAAAGAGATATGTGTGCAGTATAGTTAATATAGGTAAATAATCTATGAGCATGTGTATCTTTACTGAATAAACATTATTATTATTGTTATTATTACAATTATGCGTGCAGTTGAAATGAATCATAAGATCCTTTTAGAAACGGAAAGTGGAAATTTAGACGACTTTACCCTTTAAACACTATACTGAAAGATCGCAATTGTTGTCAGTAAGACCCAACTCTTCCACATGCCCGAGGCCGAATTTTTGTATGGTTCTGTTGGTAGTTTTGATTTGCTTGTTGTAGATGGTTCAGCCTCTGTTCTTGCAGGTGGTTCAGCTCCGGATGTTGATCTATTTCCGGGTGGTCCCGGTGGTGGTTCCTCTCTGCGTGTTGTCGATGGTTCAGTATCACTTGATGTAGGTGTTTCAGTTCCGGTTGTTGGTGGATTTTCGGGTGGCCCTGGTATTCCCTCTCCCGGTGGTCCTGGCGCTAAACCATTTTCGGGTGGTGATCTTGGCTGTAGTCCTTCTTGTGTTGTCGATTGTTCACTTACTGTACCCTGTGATGTCGTTGAATTATTCGCTGGTGATGATGTTTGTGTACTTGACGAAATCGCTAAAAATAAATTATAAAATACAAAATACATAAAAATCGGAAGCTGCAAATTAGGAAAGATAAAGGATATTGTCATCTTAATTTTCACTTTGCCATAAAAATCAACTTTCAGCTACCAGCTACCGACAATCACGACGACACTTATACTGTAAATGTATAGGACCTTGTATCATACGTCCGGGCTGGCAAGCCATGTTCTATACAATTAATTGCAGGAATCTCACAATGGTAAGAACAAATTTTAATTTCACGGCTTGTGTCTTGGCCCCTTGTACCTAATGTCGTTTTCAAAATTTACCTTTAAAAATAGCCAGAGTGACAAATATCACTTGCCAAATCTTCATTTTACTGATTTCTGAAAACAATTAAATTATATACAATACATTATATTAGCAGCAATATATCATACACAGAAAAGAAGACTCTTTCAAAATATTAGTTATGATCTTTGTCCTCTAAACAACCGGATTAATATTAATATGCGCTCTCTGTCTTTTTATTCACTAAAAAAAAATTTATTTTTATCAAAATTGCATTTCCTTGTAAAAAAAAAACTTGTATCAAGATAAAGTTATTGAAATCAATACAGAAATCATAACAGCTTTTTATGCGATTGGGTCAAAATTCTACAGAGTAAAGAAACTCGGTAGCTCATGTTCGTGTAGTAAGCTGCCAAAAAATCAGACCGTTACTACTGTCTTACCTACTACAAATATAATCTCTTTTGAATTATTGACAATTCGCTATGCTCATTTGTAATCCTTAAAACATACCTGCTCTTACTTCTTACTTTGAAATAGAACTGCTTTTAAGAACTGTACGACACGGTATGCGTCAGTCGAGAAACACCCAACCTGAAAACTTCAGAAAATTCCTGACGTTAGCATCTCCAAGAGAAACCACATACAAACAATGTACAATTAACAGGTACACTTGACTGATTTATATGATCTTGATGATCAATGAAACTTCATTTAAAGGGGTAATATGCAAAATTAGTTCGTCTGCAATCATAAGAAAACGATGCTGTGGGCCTATGTTGCTGAGTTTGAAAATAGAAAGTGTAATTTAGAAGGGTTAGAACCATAATAAATACCAAGTTTTTTCGTAAAATATAATAATGTAAGATATCCCACAACGTACACCGCACCTAGTCTATTCCAACTTAGATGTGGTGCGATGCAGGTTTTTATCGATACAGACAGAAAAAGTGAAAATGCGAGGTACAGATTCGGACACGGTGTGGACACGATTCGCTTCTACCATTTCCTACTGTCAGGCCCGTATCCAGACTTGATTGTCCGACGGGGCAAGTAATATATTCGGAGGGGCAATGGAGTGTGGTGTTTAGTTGCAGTGATGATATTTCGGAAAAAAATTTTCGGGGGTAGGGTGGAATTTGCCAGAGAAAAAAAACGCATGGTTGTAAAAAATTTATAGTCTTTAGATTTTATCTATTCTAACTAAGAGGTTGTATTGAATAATTCCTTTTAACATGATTGAAAAACAATGAACGCATGAAAAAAATGATGTTAGTGTAAAATGTTATGGTTACAAAATATACAAGTATTTATATAGATATATACAATCTAATACAATCTAATGATTTACTGAACCTATTTCAGTATAAAGAGACTCAAGCTTTATTGTATGCGCAATCTATTAAAGGAGCTAAAAGAAACAACTATATTTTACAAGGGTAATATCTCAAGCTCATTTCTATGGATCATTTATACCAGCTAGTCGGCGAGGAAGGGCCTAATGATTCTGTCGCCCGTCTTGGAAATGCAGACCCGGACGTCGTGGGGTGGGATTCAGACTTAGAGGCGTTTAGCCGTAAGCCCCAGGACAAAGGCAAAGCCCCAATAAACCACCAAGCACCAACGCTTTCAATCCGGACCAACATTCCTCTCGTACTAGTCAGTCATATCGCTCATTCCTACTGAAAAGCATCATAAAGCCAGCCTATGGGCGCCCGCGCTAGAGTTTCGAGGGCACACCGCCCTAGTTAAATTCAGTATTGACTCTGTTCTCGATCACCCTCGCGAGAGCCCTTGTCCCGCTGAACACCCAGCCGACCACACTTTTTACATGTCAGTCCCTCACCCCTGCGTCCCAACATGGCAGAAACCCTAGAAATTATAAAAATATCACTGTCTCAATTAAACAAAAAAAAAAGAAAAACAAACTGAAAAACATTTTTGTTTGTGTATCAAGAAAGAGATTGGTCTCTTTAATTCACTGTTAACATGACATTCATGCATTAGCTATTCACTTTTAAGACCAAACAATAACAATTATTTAGTTTAGATCATCATGACCTGTAGACATATAATACAATAACAATTAGTCTTTTTGAACTTATTTCACTTTTCTTAACTGAACAATCTTTTAAGTGCTTAAATATCTCCAATGGATGATGATATAAAAACATTAAGATATATATCAGAGTCATTTTATCTGCAACAATAATCAATTAAATATATCATATTTAGGGCCAATTAAAGTTATACTACCTGGGCACATATGGATTTGAAGACTCAAATTTCGAGCTGAGAACCCTATCATTGATAAGCTTAGCTAAAGACTTAAAGTCCTATGTCTCAATCAAAATTAAAGTCGAATGTCACAGCTGGCAGAATAGACAATTTACAACTATGCAACTACACCCTTGGCACTTATTCCATTCTATTTCAATTTTTCATTCCATTCATTCCATCGTATTCCATTCATTTCATCATCGTATTCCATTCATTCATCAATCCCCTATATTTCATTTCATTCTATTTCTTATATTCCACTGTAGTCACTTTACATTTCATTTACTTTCTATGAATATATGTTATAATTCATTTCATTTTATTAACGAAATCTAAGATTGAGTCTCGGGATATTTTGGAAGAATCTGTATGTTCTTGACTGTCATGAACACAAACACCCCTGTCCCAGAACCATTGTAAACTGTTCAACTTGCTGTCTCTAAAATAAATAGAAAAATATTATTATGTAAGACTATTTCAAAGGGACAGGTATGCCAATTTTTTGACCCATCGTACCTTAGTCTCTGATTATAGAGGGATTCTGTTGTAACTTTATGACACCAGGTATACCCGCTGATGAATATATACTCTTATTGGCACAGTTTGAGAAGGTAACTTTAATGTTCTTTTTAAGAGATAGGTAGTACCTATTTAAAACGTTTATTTAATATAAGAACTACCTTGTGGTGGCAATACTATCTTTCTGAATCTGATATTCAGCCTTTCTGGTGACTGTATTATAGAAATATTTCTTCTGGGATGATTTACTCATTGCCATCATCCATGGTTCTACAAACAAAATATATCTTGATTATCAAATAGATATAGTTCTCTATTAATTTATCACTTCACCTAAAATTCACACTATTGATTTTGTTCATTGAAAGCTCACTGAAACCAATAGTGTTGATAAAATAAACACTAAAATTTGATAATTTTGCTTAAATAAAAACTAAACTTTGAGAGTTGTGATAAAATAAACGCTAACCTTTGAGAATTTTGATAAAATAAATGCTAACTTTTGAGAATTTTGATAATATAAACACTAATAAAATAACACTGACGTTTGATAGTTTTGATAAAAGAAATACTAACCTTTGACAGTTTTGATAAAATAAACACTGTGTGGATGGAAGTAACTGTTGTCTGGTGTTTTATAACATAATCTGGCACAGCCCTGGCTTCCTTTCACAACCTTAAATTCTAACCTGGAGCAGAACAAAATGAACAGAATGAAAGAAACCATATCTTACAAGGATAACAACTTTTGATCCCATGGATCCAGCTGGTCCTTGGTCATAACTTTTTGCATTGATCTTTCCTGGTTTATCTGTACACAGCTGAGTTGACTGCAAAAATGAAGAAAGAGGACCTGTTCAAGATCTCCAAACTGTCACACGCCAACCTATATTAGAACCAACAACCACCATTGCCTAATGTAGCCAACAAATGACCTATTTAAATGCTTTAACTGACCATGTTACAGCCTGTCTTCATTGACAAATGAACAGCCATTTTAAAAGCTGAGAATTATCTAGCCTGAAATCTAGACAGTTAACTTACTTATCAAATATCTGAGTAATTTCATCTAGTTTATAATAATGAGATACTACAATGGGTGCTAAATCAGATCTACTTGGTTTCCTTACTGCTTTTACAAACTTCTCTAAACTGCGTAATCTGAAGTGAAATACAGGAAACAGTCCATGACAACCACTAGAAGAAATGGAATGGTCAATAAAAATGTACTTCAAACAATAATAAAATCCCTTCTTACTCTCCAGCAATCTGAAAAAATCTCATGCTTATCTTTGGGTTATAATTCATGCAGTTGACATCCTCTGTAGAGAGTTACGCCATTTCTAAAATTTATATCTCTAAGGAGTTATCTCGAACTAAGGAGAAAGCAACTGAATTGACTATGACTTATATATAGATATAATCCAAAGTTCCAACTTAATCTGAACTTACCTTTCTTTAAAATGTAAGGATCTAACATCTTTACCACAGAGAAATACAGCATCTAGTATATGTATAGTCTGAATTCTACGCTGGCCTTTACCCTGAGAATATAAAAGTCAAACAAATCATTGCATACTTTATCATCTTTATATGTTATTTCAGATTTCAAAGTCATCTTTATTCATTTTCAAGATATCTATACCAATTTATTTTCTTCTTATATGAAAAAAAAAATGCATGATGAAAAAACAAAAGACTAAGTTTGTGTCAAGGTCAGGAGAAAATTACTAAAGTCATGATTTTCATACTTCTCCTCTTAATTCTTGAACTGTTTCAGCCTCTACCAAAGTTTTACTGGGTAATTCAATACGTTCTACAACTTTCATCCATTTTCCTCTCTCAAATCTGAACACATGAGATTTCTGAAATAAAACGATTCATCAGTCAGTTAGAATGTGGTTTTGTAAACGAAGGTAAACATTTTACTATAGAACTGTGTAAGAACACAGTGCAATAGCAAAATATGTTTCTAGCAACTCATATCAAAAACATCATATTTAGAGCAATAATAATCAGTTGTTAAAGACATCCAGAAAATAAGCATAGAAGACTTACCCCTAAACCTAATAAATAATAACGTTTCTGGTCTCCAGTGACAGTACACATATAGTCATATATACTCTTAATCTGTGATAAATTACTCATCTCTAGACTGGTTGGTATGTGGGTGATATAGTCTTCAGATTCACTCTAAAAATAAATAAAAATGATGTCAAAATAATTGTGTGTTATGTTTGATGACCTTGAGCAAGTCCTATTTATTCAATATTCTAATTTACCCAGCTGTAAAAGATGACCAAGGTATTGGATAACCATAGGCGTTTAAAATCAATGGCAAGAAAGGATTCTCTGACAAGGATACTTTGAAAATGTGAATGCTTTGTTTATTGATTAAAGGTGACCTCACACCCTAGTGATTACCAGTTGTGTATTGTTGAGCATAATGAAAGTGGCCATAAGTTTTAAACGCAACTCACTAATCTATTGCATGAGAGTTTGACCCAATATTCTTATTCGCACCCATACGCATCTGGTGATTCCTATGGTGTGAGGGCACCTTTACTTTTTGGAAATTTGGGGATGTCCATATCAGTTCATAATGAATTAAACTTAAGGCACAATGATAAATATTAAGTGGGCTGAGGTTGACATCCAATTCAAAGCATCTCATCAGATCCATTGCAGTTGACATGAGCAATATGAAGAGCATGAGATATGTAGATTTTTCAATCGTTTATGACTTCAAATCAAGTCAGTCCATTGATTGATCACATTCTCCAAAATGGCGCTTATTAAAAATGGAGTAGTCTGCAGATGCTGCTACTCACAAGGCCGAACAGAGTTCCTTTACTAACGAAATTGAGACAAAATGATTTATTTTACAAAATACACTTACTACAATAAGTTCCTTGAATTTTCCAGTAGGATCTCTGTAAGTGGGAGCCATTCTAACTTCATCTGGTACCTTCATAAAAAATTGATTATCAAACTCAAGGAATACAGTATCTAAATATCATGATTATTGATAGTTGTGTTAGTTACTTATCCAGATTAATTATCAAAACTTAATTTCAGTCTATCCCATTAAGAAAATGATTAAGTCATTTTAAGTTATGGTTTTGAAGTTAATGTTGGACTTTGCTTCAGCTTTCTTGTAGATTTTAATAGATTTTAAACATGCTTCATACACAATCCTAACATTCCAAGATACAATTTACCACAATGGTTAATGATGGTGTGAATCTATAAAATAATATGAGTAACTTGTATAAACAACAACAACACAACAGCAAGCCTAACAAAGATGGAATTTAAATTATTTACCTTCCAATATTTTAGACATTGAGTTCTGATATCTGATTGTTTAAACTCATACAAATCTCTAGAAATATTCAAACAGAAATTAACATCACACAGCCTACTATTCATTGGTATATTGAATTCTGCTAATTTTATTAAGGTAAATTTGTATAAAACCTTCAAAACAGTTCTAATAATCTTAGAATGATTTTGAGTTTATAAAAATATAAACACATTATCAGGTAGAAATTTGTTTTTGTAGAGAACAATTTTCAGTCATAATTTGGGTCAACAATTGGATAAAATTTGATATACCAAGGAATTTGCTCAGACAATAGTAGTTGGAGGATTGACAAACCTAAATAAGGTAAAAATGTTTTTAGTTATCTGGACCTAAAAGGGTGAATATGACCTGCCTGTTGAGCGACCATTTTTTTTTCATGGTGTATATCTGCTCTCTCTTGGTGATTAAGAAAGAAAAGATCAGTATAATAATAACTTACTGATTTTGACAAAATGCTTGAATCTTTTTTAAACCAATGATTTGTTTTCTACCAATACTGAAAAATATCATTTCTCTGATGTAAAGAAATGCCTCGATTTAAAAAAAAAACATGCAAAAGTAAACCAATTTTTGGCTTGAAAATCTGATTTATTTACAACAGCAAAATAAAGCAAGATGTTGTTAAGCTTTGCCTTGAAACATTGACAAAGATCCCAAAAAACATTACCCAGATGGAAATATAGTATGGCAATAAATTGATTATTTCGAAAGATGGCTTACTTACTTTTCATTGGATAACCACATATAATCGAAGAAATCTTTATCATCTTTCATTGTGTCTAACGGTACTATTTCTGTCACGTCTTCCGTAGAGATAGCTGTTAAATATTTACACAGATCTAGATTGATTCTCCTCATATATTCACAGATAGATTCGCTGTTAGCTTTTTTATTTTTACATATTATATACCTGGGAAAAAAAGAGGGAAATATAGGTTGGATTATTTTCTAAACAATTAAGTAATGATGGACCCAATGAAGTGATATAAAGGCAGAGACAGACACAGGCCCTGGATATGGCTGACCAAGAAAAAACATTTGGAAAAGGGCTCACCTCTCAGAATTGGCAGGTCTGCTTGTAACAGGTTTGAAGATAGAAACAGAATCAAATCCTAAATACATTAGATATACCAACCCCATACTGAAGGGAGTAAATAAATCAAATAGTTTGCATACAAAACTACCATCTGGAATAGATTACAAATATATCAAATAGTTTACATACAAAACTATCATCTGAAATAGATTACAAATATATCAAATAGTTTACATACAAAACTACCATCTGAAATAGATTACAAATATATCAAATAGTTTACATACAAAACTATCATCTGAAATAGATTACAAATATATCAAATAGTTTACATACAAAACTACCATCTGAAATAGATTACAAATATATCAAATAGTTTACATACAAAACTACCATCTGAAATAGATTACAAATATATCAAATAGTTTACATACAAAACTATCATCTGAAATAGATTACAAATATATCAAATAGTTTACATACAAAACTACCATCTGAAATAGATTACAAATATATCAAATAGTTTACATACAAAACTACCATCTGAAATAGATTACAAATATATCAAATAGTTTACATACAAAACTACCATCTGAAATAGATTACAAATATATCAAATAGTTTACATACAAAACTACCATCTGAAATAGATTACAAATATATCAAATAGTTTACATACAAAACTATCATCTGAAATAGATTACAAATATATCAAATAGTTTACATACAAAACTACCATCTGAAATAGATTACAAATATATCAAATAGTTTACATACAAAACTACCATCTGAAATAGATTACAAATATATCAAATAGTTTACATACAAAACTATCATCTGAAATAGATTACAAATATATCAAATAGTTTACATACAAAACTACCCTCTCGAATAAATCCTTAGTTAGATTCAGTTTTGAATAAATAACAAAATTTATACTGTGGTAAAATTTCTCAAAAACTAGCAACTTGGAGCGAATCCCATAAAAAGTGACAATGTCTGTCTGGCTTTATATGACAGGGCTAGACTGATTAGGCTATTGGCAGCCCTTTAGAATATAAAGATGAACTTACACCTATAACTTACCATCTCTCAATATAGACAGAGCTACTAAAAACTGACATAGATAAAGCTGTTTAGATAAAATTTCTTGTATGTTTTCTTGGCCTTCCACAGAAAAACCCTGAAAAAAGAAAACAATGGCTTTCAAAGAACTTAATTTAGGCTCTAAGTAGTACTTTTCAGAAATAAATTTAAAATGGGGGATTATATCCACTTTGATAATAAATAACTAAGTACAATGAAAATTTAAACTATAAATAATATTTTGAGCTGGGACATACAACATAAGATATAAGATTTCAATGTTTTAATTTCAATTTCCGAGCAATGATGCATATATCACTCTGAAGATTAGCCAATTAAATAATGAAATGAACTATAGCCACTTACCCCATCTGCCATGACAAAATGGACACCAAGGCCGTCTGTACTGTCCAATACAAATTTTGTGAAAGCTGCTTGGTTGTCAGGATTAAAAATATCACCATCTCCATTTATTCCACCTACACCTGGTGAACAAAAGTACATTGCCCGTTAGATAATTAAACATTTTATATAGTAGCCATTACAAAGGCCCTTACAAATTATTAGTAGCTTGTTTGATAGTGCATCATATAGGATTAAGGATTTTAATAATTACAGGAACAACAGAAATCTGGGTAAAAATTGGAATTAAGAAAATATATGACTCCAATATACTTATAAAATTGATATTGAAGAAAAACTTCATATAAATACTTACCATAATGAGGTTCAAACATTTCAGCTGGTCCAGCAAAAAAATCTTCAACTTTAAAATCATTTTGACCTCTTAAGGTCATTCCAAATCCTTTAGCATCCCCTTTCTTTCTCCATAATACATATTCACTAAAACCACCTGGGCCAGCACAAATATCAGCAAAATATAGAATTTCATTTGGTGGCAGCAAAACGTTCTGAATTGAGAGATAACAAACTGATATGGTAGAGAAGATCATAAAACTTGAACAATGGTGCAAAAGTTTATCTCCTACTGCAAGAATGGAATAGCCTACAACTTAGTTGCAAGATTGTTAGATTGTTGTCTGCTCCAAGATTCGTTGGATTGGGTTTGAGTTCTGATGCCTATGTTTTCAGGAGTCAGCCCAGTCAGCTTCATAGAATTAGCTTTGCTCATTGAACTGCTACAGATCCAAAGAGATAAGAGAGCTGAAATGATACCTACACCATAAGAGTCTGTAGGCGAAGTAAACATAAAATCTAACACAGCATCCATATTGGCCATCTTCATTGCAGCTCTAAAAAAAACAACGTAAGATTGAAAATATATTTCAAATTAATTCAAATAATTTTTTAATTCTCAGGTATTATGTATTATGACTGGAGAAATGAGAATAGTACTCAGCATAATTTTCATTGAAAACTGACTACATAAAGATCCTAGTCTTACCTGTTTAGAAAGAACACACCACGAATAGTTTCATAAGGATTGGATCTGGTTCTAGCTCTTCTCATTTCTTCTGCATCCAAAATATCAAACACATTCTACAACACAATGGGAGTGGTAAACTCCAAGTAATTTAACTTAAGACAACAAGTCTGTAGTGAAAATGAGCCACAGACAACACCCTGCTACAGCACAGACATAATACTTTTTTTTCGTCTGAAAGTGAACTTAAATAAAGACAAGAGTTTTCCCACAGAGGCACTTAAGTCTGAGTTTTCCAAGGAAGGGGAGGGGATATAAAAAATTTGTCTTCTAAAGTATTGTAACTATAACAGACCTTGCCATTTATTATTCCTTTCAATGTTTTTTCTGATATAAAATGAACTTCGTCATCTATAGTCCTTTTTTTCTGAAAAAAAAAGAAGTAAATATTTTTGATGACAAATTTTGGGAAAAAACTCCAGAAACGTTTGTTCTTTAAAGGGAAAGTGTGTTATTTTTTTGACCAGTCATACGTAAGTCTCAGAAACAGGAATTTTAGCCATAATATCCATGTGTGTCCAGAATTATCCATATTTTAAAGTTAAAAATATGAGTCATCTTTTCTTGAGACACTGCCTTACATAGAAAAGTCATCTATAGAAATTTCCTATTTTGAGGTATTTTTGAAGGAATTATGCAATTTTGCTACATTTTTACTACCTCTGTCCCTTTAAACAGATATTAATGGCAAGCCGCGTAATCATCCACACATATACAAAGATGTGAAACTTACTTTTCCAATGATCTTCCATTCTAACATTTCCTCAAGGGAAGGAATTGGTAAGGTACATTTAGGTAGCCAGTCAACAGTTTCTTCTATAATAATCTACAATATACAGACAGATAGTTGATAGGTTAGGAATCTAACACTGATGATGGCATTTAATTAAATCAAACCCTTCCTTTAAAATTTCTAAATACCAAGATGCAGGATTTTACCTGTAGCGAAAGCAACCTTCAGTTTTTACCCTATAATTCATAGCAAAACTTGAATACAAACCTCTTCCAAATCAAAATTCCATTCCACATCCTCAGCTTCAAGTCCATCTAGAAATAATCCTAAACCACGACGTCCTTTCTGTTTCGACGCTTCCACTATTTCTGTTCTGCCTTGTCCGAATTTACCCAGACCCTTCCCTTCCTTGTATCCCATCTTCGCCTGGAATAAAAGACAGAAACATCATTAGATACAAGTCGAGAGGTAGAATATCCTCTTTGCTGTCCTCATTCTCCAGTTCAATGAGTTTGCTTACATTTCATACTTTGTTGCAAGAAGTTACTCATTAGACTTATTCCAAGCTTAAAATAGATAATATTAAAAGAGGGGTATGTACAACATCAGGAACTTTAACCTGTATAGAACTGGCAAGTAGTGATCAATTAGATTTCCTGAAAGTGTTGTTGATTGGTTGATAGATGAGAAGTTATCATCGCTTACAGCAGATGCTGATATTACAGAGTAGAAAGTTGTTAGTAGTAGTAGTAGTTGGTAGTTGGATTGGTTCATTTGGAAGATTCTGCACTCTTGGTTTAGTAGCTGAGAATTTGTAAGATCTAAACGGTCGACTTACCATCATTTTGGCAACATTGTCATTCATTTGCGGAGCATTCTTCTTGGTGTTGGTTTTAATAAATTGAGCTGCAGGTTCACCATCACTTTCGCTTGTTGGGTTATTATCACTGGAGCCTGTTTCACTGCTAGTACTAGATTTCAGCCCCTCCCCTGCAGCATAATGCTGTTCAATCATCACCCTCTTTCTTTTAAAAGGTCTTAAAGGTCCAGTAGGGTTCATCATTGTGTTCTGCTGGGGATTTCCAAAACTTGGTCTTTCATCCTCATCAGATTCTAAAATTAAAAAGAAGCAATTTTAATGCTTTAAGCTTACAATTAATTGAAATTATTTAAACCTGCTGGCCTGCTGGTATATTATGCAGTCAGGAAGAGCAAGATGTAAAACTTTATCTCAGAATTCAAATTTTCATTTGTTTTAGAAAATGAAAGTAACTTTTCCAGATAATACTTTTTGACCTTAGTATCTATTTCCGGAAAAGTATTTACAAGGGCGATAATCAATATTAAACAGAGTTGTCTCCCTACACCGGCTCACAGTTATTTCCGGTTTACAGAAAGAAGGACGTGCCAGGTAAAGCATAATAAATAATGCAAAAACACTCCATTCCTTTCATTAATAACTCCACATTAATGTAAGCATTTGCTTCACAGAGTCCCGAACTTGAAAGATTCTATTGAATATAGAGATTTTCTGAGCAGTTTCAGACAGAAGTGAAGACAGAACAAACCAAAACAAGCAAGAGAATGAACAAATAAGAAAAAACAAACAAAAAAACAAACCCCCTCATCCTCTTTGAGAATTCGGCTAGTTGTTCGAACTGTACTCAATAGTTGTAAAGCACATCAACCAATATTTCTTTCATGTAGATCAACCAGTTTGTATTGCATCAATCAAAGAAATGAAGTCTACAGTCTGCGGTAGAAGTAAACCTAAAAAAGCCATTTTCAAATTTGGTTTCATAGAATTCAAACATATTCACTTACTGTTGACATTACTAACTTAATTTGTTTTTTTCAGCCAGAATGACAGTGGGAGGAAAATATCGTCCCCGATGTTTCTTTGATGTAGAACTCGGTGGACAGCCAGGTAAGCATCAATTATCCATTTCAGAATCTCTCTAAATTTTCAAGTGGACGAGAGAAGATAATCATGACTTATGAAATAAGAGTAGAGTGAGTTCATAGTCAAACAATACGTCATGTGAGGTGACAGGCAAGCGAAAGACATTTATATGAATTTACATGAAAAATACTGCAGTAATTTTTAAAATATAAAAATAAACATTTTGCATGTTTCATAAATATTCTGTATGATGTAATTGGTTTTCATTTTTTGTTTCAGCTGGGAGAATAATCTTTGAACTGTTCTCAGATGAATGCCCTAAAACTTGTGAAAATTTCAGAGCTTTATGCACTGGTAAGTTTCCTGTTTCTGCTCACAACAGTTTTTTGATCTTTCTAAAGTTTGCAAATGACCACTTTATAACAGGAGGACTTAGTCCTAAGTTGAAATGAAATAACAGCCCAATATTCTACCATAATTGCTATTATTCATAATGTAATTTTGGGTGTCTGAGAAGAGTAACAAGCCCCACCCCACCCTTTTTTTAGGTGTATTATCAGTTCAGCTTCATTTATTGTATAGAAGAAAAGGGATATCTGAAATAGTAACAAGCCCCACCCCAACCTCTATTGAGTTTATTATAATATTCAGTCTACTGCATCTATTGTGGCTGTGGGAGAAAAGGGCAGTAATGTGCCCCACCCCACCCTTTATTAAGTGTATTAACAGGCCAGCTAAATTTGTTGTAGGAGAAAAGGGGGTATCTGAAATATTAACAAGCCCCACCCCACACTTTATTGAGTTTATATTCAGTCTAACAATATTTATGTGTATTTTAGGAGAAAAAGGGGTATCTGAGAAGAGTAACAAGCCCCTCCATTATAAAGGATCTCCAATTCATCGTATAGTGAAAGATTTCATGATACAAGGTGGTGATTTCACTAAAGGTAAGCGCTTCTATTATTACAAAATGTATTGGTTTATCCTTATGACTTAGTTTTTCATCAGTGAAATTTCTTCAAGGAGTTCATATTATCCATTGTAAATGATGTTTATTAGCTAATTTTTAACCTTTCCAAACTGAGCAACCAGTTCAGGTACATGATGTTTTATTTCATTTACACCTAGTTCTCATTTCTAATATGTCTTTATTTGTTATTGCAGGCGATGGAACTGGGGGTGAATCAATTTATGGAGGGACGTTTCCTGGTGAGTTCAAAATTTTATATTACTACTGTATTCATTGATCTAAATAGTCGAGAAAGATATTTGTGCACATTTGGAGCTGATTCAAAACGGTATTGTACAGTTTCATTCACTTCTACTGTTTTAAAACAAAAAAGACTTCTCAGTTTCACATTCCAAAAATTAGCCTAGATGTTCACTTCATATCTTTACTTGGCTAAACCAGATTGATTTTCAATCTTTGTCCTTTCTTTCCAGATGAAAATTTCATCTTGAAACACGATAAAGAATTTCTCCTCTCCATGGCAAATCGTGGCACAAATACAAACGGTTCTCAATTTTTTATGTGAGTATTGCTTTAGCCCAGTTCGTCGCCCCATGAACTTGGTACAGTAGTTCATCAAGCCATTAATGTGGTTCTTCAAGCCATAATGTGGTTCATCAAGCCATTAATGTGGTTCATCAAGCCATTAGTATGGTTCATCAACCCATGAATTTTGTTAATATGATTGCAGTTTAATCCCAGAAATATGGGATTTTCTGCATGATCAGGATCCATGCCAACAATATGGCCTGGGTCACTAGGCAATGGTTACGAAATTTTTACGTTGAACGTAGAAATGATTAAAATGGTATGCTGGTATATGGTTAAAAAGATATGGTGGTATTGTTATATGTGAAAAAATTGATGCAATTAGATGCTTATGTTAATTTTCTATATTTTTACATATACACAGAGTCATCTAATGAGGCCTTTGCTACGAAAACAGGTAACGATACACACCGAATTTAATCTCTAGAAGATAAAAAACGGATAAAAATGACTTGCTGGTTATTTAAAAATTGATTCATTAACTTAACTGTTAAAGAACATTTTATAAATTATCACTCTTGATGCCAAAGAAAATTATGGATAAACCTAATTAGTTTTCCCATTGATCTTAGAATTGTGTATTTAAATTTCATCAAAAGACTTGCTATGTTCCTTTATTTGAATTTTTTTTTTTAAATAAATAATGGTGTTTTTATTTTTATTTATTTATTTAGGTATGGTAAGTAGACTCAAACTAATACTTTTGTGTCCATCATTTGAACATTTTGATCAATGTTCATTTTTCTCAAAAACTTTGTTTCATATTTTAATAAATACTTTAATTCCTTTGGTTAATACTATTAAATTTGAAAAGGGTTGTCCAATAAGATTGTTAGAAGTTTTGTGAAACAGGGCTTGATTGTGTTGAAAGTATATTGTTATATTGTATTACATCTTCACAATGTCAAGCCATTACAAACTTCGTACTCATACCTTGACAGGAATTGTATCTTGGAATACTGTGATTTAATTGGATTATATGCTAGCAAATACAGTCAATACAGTCAGCCCTGTCAGGCTGTAAACATTATGAATTATGGCTTTCTGTTCACAGACTTTCTGTTGAGGCCTCCGATTGGCTGATATTCCAATTAAATTGCTACATTTACATACTTCCAGTCAAGGTATAAGTACAAAGTTCATAATAGTTTGACATTGTGAAGATGTTATGTAGCAGATTAATTAAAATCAGAACAAACTTTCATTTTTATTAGGTTTTATTTTTACTCAACCACTCCAGTTAGGATCTTATAAACTTCTCTATATAACTTTCATTCTGAATCATAACACCACCAACCAATCTAACAAATTCTTACCTTTCCAGCACTGGGATTATGTGACACGAACAAAAAGTGTATTCTGAGCATGAGTGGTTTAGTAAAAATATCAGTTAATAAAAAAACAGAATGAAAGTTTGGTCTAATATTGATTAAAACTGGTTGAGTAGTAGGTATTACAGGGATTTGATTCTTCTTCTTCTTTTTTTTTTTCATATAATCAAAGTTTAACAAAGCCAGCTCCACATTTGGATGGGTAAGTTGCTCAAAATTTAGCCTTACAAAGGCACCACCAAAATATCAAACATTTAGTGTATAATGAATTTGTAGACAGACAAATATGGTCCGTACGACCAGGGTTGTCAGGCTATGTCAAATATATGTAATATATTATGTTTTTAGGTTAATCTATTTTGGAATATGCTTATTCTCACCATACGTCAACTTCACAATGTCAAGTTATTACAAACTTTGTCTTATATCTTTCTTGTAGCACAAAATGCAGGGATTTGCTGGAGAATACAGCCAATCAGAACCCTTGACAGAAAGACGGTTAACATTCTTGCGTATTGTTAACTGATTTTCTGTCGATTACTTTGATTGGTTGTATTCTCTAGCGAACAATGGAACCAAATCATTGCATTTAGAAAATTCCTTGATACAAGAAAGATGGCTATTGCCGTCAAGGTCTAAGACGTAGTTCGTAATAGCATGACATTGTGAAGATGATTATATGACTGCTCAAGTTGAATTATGGTTTCATTATTTATTTCAGTATTCATGTGGTATTTGGTCAGGTGATAAAAGGACAAGAAATAGTGAAAACAATGGAAGCACAGGCCACTGATTCTAAAAGTCGACCAACTCAAGATATTAAGATTTCTAATTGTGGCGAGTTAGTTCTTCAACTTAAAGCTAAAGGTATGCAGTTTCAGCCATTTTGTCTCTATTTTCAATCAGAAGCAAAAAATAAGATTATGAATTCAGGATGTCAAATGTCATTCGCTTAATAAAATTCCATTTAATTTTTAGCCAAGAAAGCGAAAGAGGAAGGTTCAGGGACAGAAGATTCATCCAGTTCCTCAGACACAGAGTCCAGTTCTGCAGAGGACAAAAACAAGAAAAAACGTAAAAAGAAACATAAGAAGAAAGATTCCAAAAGAAAAAAGAAGGAGAAAAAAGCCAACAAAGAAAAGTAGGTTGATATGAAATGTAATTTCTATTTTCATATTCTAGGTGAAAGATTGGTAAAGCATGAAGTGGTTCTACTTTAACTGCAATCTGATTGGTCAGAATGAGATTCCACGCCCACAAACTGAGCAAGTTTAGCAAGCTTAGTTTAATATAGGTTAATAAGACTGTGTTAAATCCTGTATTAGGGTGGCAGTTGAACTATCAAACCTCCTTCAACCCCCTCCTACCTTTACAGAAGAAAATATGAAGCATAGCTGAGTGGACTTCACCTTTGATATCTAGTAACCATTGAAACTTGAAAAAGTCTATGATGCTCATATTGAGGCAAATTTTATTTGTAAGTTATATTTTGTAGAGAAAAGCTTGAGAAAGAAGAAAAACAAAGAGAGAAAGATAAAATAACGACAGTATTTGGTGATATACGTCCAGATGAGATACCTGACATACCAAATAATTTCCTGTCCAGGGATAGAGTTAAAAATCCTGATGATCCCAACCAGTGAGTAACTTGCCATTTTACCTGACTAGATACTGACTAATTGTTTTAGTAAATCTACTTACTCTTCGTACTTGGTAGACTCACTCCTCAGACAGCATACTTGGGTATTTGGAAATTAATCAATTAAAGTCTTGTGATGTAAAATTTTGCCAAAATATTTTCTTAATAGAGACTAATAGGACTCTATTTTCCAAGTATCAAGTATAATTTGAAACTTATTTTCAGAGAGAATGGTAGACGTTCCCCACCAGGTTATGGACAGAGAAGAGACATTCAACCATATTCTTACCGCTCACGAGCTCACTATTCTAGTACAGGAAGGAGAATAAAGGGAAGAGGAACTATGGTACGTAAAACAAGAAATGAAAATAACAGTTTGACAAGAATGAAAATAACAGTTTGACAAGAATGAAAATAACAGTTTGACTAGAATGAAAATAACAGTTTGACAAGAATGAAAATAACAGTTTGATAAGAATCAAAATAACAGTTAAACAAGAATCAAAATATCAAAATAACAATTTGACGAGAATCAAACTAACAGTTTGACAAGAATCAAAATAACAGTTTGACTAGAATCAAAATAACAGTTTGACAAGAATCAAAATAACAGTTTGACTAGAATCAAAATAACAGTTTGACAAGAATCAAAATAACAGTTTGACAAGAATCATAATATCAAAATAACAGTTTGACGAGAATCAAAAAAAACAGTTTGACAAGAATCAAATTAATAGTTTGACAAGAATCAAAATAACAGTTTGACAAGAATCAAAATAACAGTTTGACAAGAATCAAATTAATAGTTTGATAAGCATAAACTGTTTTTGCTTTTACTATCTGATTTATGTCTTACTGTTAAGAGACCAAGATTAAGATGTTTAAGCTGCTTATGTGGACACCTATGATTTTAAACCTCATCTTCCAACGCATAATCTGGAAAATGATGACAAAGTTACATACATGTATTTGATCACTTTTACAGAGATTTCACTCAAGAAGTAGAAGTCGGACTCCACCACATTGGAGACGAGAAGAAAGTCGATTAAAACCCCTAGACCAGGTTGAAAAAGAAAAGGCAGAGAAGGAAAGGTGGACAAGAGGGGACAAATTAGAGGGGCCAGGAGAAAACACCCAAGATGCAAGAAATATGTTGAGTCAGAGATTTGAATCTGGACAAACACAGGCAGCTGCTGAAGGGTAAGAAAAAATATCTTTTTATGATATCCGCTGAGATATTCATTAAGATATTTTGACAGTTATTGACCAGGGAATACATTGTCAAGTGCTATTTTTAAGTTGTGGCTTAAAGTTTGTTTGTGGAACTAGACATCAGCAAGACTTTATTCGCTTTCAAATCAAACTGGTAAATTCTGAATTTTATCTAGAACACAAACTTTTAAGTTTAATTAGCTTGTTTTTTGTCTTTCACTTGCTCTTTTTTTTTTCAGTGAAGCAGAAGAGAAAAGCAAGAAACACAAACATAAAAGTAAAAAAGATAAAAAGTAAGTGTATAAATGAAAACAATATTTATTATGATTAAAGATCGGAATCTTCAGAAATACGGTTTGTCTACAATCGATTTTTCTCCTCAAACTTCTGCTTTAATTAGTTTTTAAAGTGGAAAGATGATAAAATTGTAATTTTTTTCAGGAACAAGAAGCACAAAAAGCACAAAAAACACAAGAAGCATGGGAAAGCTGAAGATCAGTCAAATTCAGAAGAGGACAGTGGTGAAGAAGATGAAATCCAAAAAGAAATGGAGACTGCCAGAAGAGCTGAGCAAGGGAGACAACCCAATAGGTCATTTGATCGTAGTGATCATTCTAGACGAAGTGGTGAAGAGTTTGATCGGGCTCGAAGTGGTGGTGAAGTTCATGGTCGAAGTGGAAGGACACTAAGTATTGGTGAGAGACTCCTGTCTCTGGCTGATATGGGTCAGTCGGGATCTCATGGAAAGGATAAATCACCCCTTAGAGGAGCAGTTCATTCTAGATTAGGTTCACGCGGCAATACTGATTCTAGAGATAACAGAAGGTCAAGGTCAATAGACAGACAACGACCAAGGTCAGATGAGCGAGGTCAAAGGTCAGATGAAAGAGGTCAAGGATCAGATAGAGGTCAAAGGGACAGATCCAGAGATGAAGGTCATAGGTCAGATAACAAAGATCAAAGGCCAGATGAAAGGAGTAAAGGGTCCAGTGATAAAGGGCAAACTTCAGATAAAGATAGGCGATACGAATCAAGAGACAGGTCAAAGGACAGAAGGCAAAGGTCAAATGATAGAGGTCAAAGATCAGCTGACAGAAGTCAAAAATTCAATGATAGGTCAAGGGATAGGTCAAGAGAAAGAGGTCAAAGGTCAGATAGAGGAGAAAGATCAAGAGATAGAGGTCAAAGGTCAGATGATAGGCACCAAGCAAATGAGCGCAGATCAAGACAAGAAGAAAATAAAACTTCAAGCTCTCATGATACCTCTTTCAACAGTTCATTTGAGAAGAGGATTTTGGAAAAAAGACGTGGCAGTGAAAATGATCGAAAAGCTCCTGACAGAAACATCATGTTACATAAACGTCATGACTCAAGTTCCCCTGAGCAGAAGAAATCCAGGAGATCCAATGAATTTTCTCCTGATGCTCACAGACAAAAGTCATCAGAAGGCAGAACTGATCAAAGCTCCAGATCTCGAAATGAAACTAAATCTTCTAAAAAAAGAGACTCGAGTTATGATAGCAGTTCTGAAGAAAGAGGCAACAGACATAACAAGACAAGACAAAGTGAACAAAGAAAATCATTGGAGAGGCAGAGATCTGATCATTCTGCTGACAGACGTCAGTCAAAAGATAGACAAAGTAGGCATGACAATCATAGAAGGGAAGGAGCTCATCAACAATCATCTAGAAACAAGACAGTCTCCAAAAGGCAAAGAAAGGACAGCTCGTCTTCTGATGTAGAATCACCAACCAAACTAGCATCGGCACATAAGAATGGAAAGAAAGAGAAACGCGATAGTTCCTCCTCTGAAGAAAGATCTTCAAGAGTGCAAACATCAGCTGCTTTGCGCAGAGATCCAGAAGGACAGAATAACAGCACAAAGGCACATCAGCCTTCAAAAGCTGTGTCATCTCGACCAGACTCTAGTTCCTCATCAGATTCAGAAGGAGAAGTTAAACCTCCAGATAATAGAAATCAGAATAATGTGTAAGTGAAAAATTATTTTTTTAGTTTTATTTCTATTTGGAGTGCGGGATATTTTTTCAAAATTTGGCTTTTAAGGTACCATAATTGTTGGTTAAAGGGAACACTAGGGTGTAGAAATATATTTGATTTTTATTTAATGCAGAAGATCAAGGTGGGATAAGACTTCCAGATCACCTCCAAATCAAAGAAACCTACTGGTGCAAAGGTAAGTTTTTCATGAATTAGTCTCACTGTTACTGGTACTGTAAATAGAACTGTATAGTTGAGCAAACATCCAGGAAAAATTCAAGAGCTTGTCTTCTTTATTTTTAAGTTTATCTTCTGAATATCTTAGCTTGTGTTCCCCATTCTTTATACATAATTGACTATATATTTTCATGATAAATTGTATATAGTTCTGTCATTTCTACTTTGATACATTTAATTCTTATTTGCAGACATTCTCCTAAAGCAAATGTTGAGCCTCCCCAGTCTAGTTCCAGGCCACAAACCATGGATTCTAGTGTCAAAACACTTGTACCAAAACCTAGGTCAAGGTCCAGTAGTTCGGATGATTCTGACAGGTCAAGATCACCTCCCAAGCAACAGAAACGACGTCAATCATCTTCCTCATCAGATTCTGACAAGGATGCCAGGGTAGGGATGAGGCTTCATTATAACTGTTTTCAAAATTTATGAGAATCTCTTGGTGTTTCTATAACGATCCTGTTCTCAAATTATCATGCAAAAACATTTTGATGAATTATTGAATTTTACAACATGATGGAATTTGATGGTAAGATCATTTGAGTAACAGGGATCTTGATGCCGACATTTGATAATATGTGGTATTTGGATTAGTCAATAAGGAATCCTCTTGGCACTTTAATTGAACTGCATTTAGATTGTTATATAAACAATCAATAAAATTGATGACTTTTTTTCATTTAGGGAAAGATAACCTCAACATCTGGTCATCCAGCTAAAGTTTCAACTCCTGCATCCAGGTAGATAAAATTTGAAATTCAATTAATTTTTAGATCTGTATAATGTTCTGGATTGTGCATAGCCGGGTTTACTTGGATCGTGTGATTTTTTGATCCACAAATCAAAATTCTGATATCACCTTTATATATTTACCTTGCAATATAATAACTTGTTTGTTCTTGGATCTTTGCCAGTAAGGTGATTTTATGTGATTTTATTTTATTTGATAAATTGTTTTTGTCCTAGTTTTCTTGAAGATTTTTTTCAAGGTTGATGGGGTATGCTTGATAAAAATCGATTTCTTGAATTTACTAAGATAGCAGAAATATAAATTGTTCTCTGAAAACAAGCCTATGGTTAACAACCAACAGAAAAGAGAGGTCATATTTTAAGTCAACATATTATTTCTATTTATAGAGACATACAGCGAAAAGAATCTGTTAGTCAAATACCATTGCCATCCTCTGATAGACGTCGAACACCCAGTAGCAGTAGTTCAGACAGTTCTCCACCTAGTCCTCCTCCTAAACCAAAATTATCTCCAGAATCCAGAAGTCATCGATCCTTAACTTCACGTGGGCAATCTTCACCAAGCACAAGGGGACCATCTCAGAGTTCGCGTGGACGACCAGCAGAGAAAAAAAGATCCAAAAGTACCTCCAGTTCATCCTCGCCCGACGCTAAGAAATCACTAAAGAATAAACCAGCTCCTGCTAAAAGAGGTTCATCTTCAGACTCTTCATCAGAGGAGAGACCTCCTGTCATAAAACCTAGGCAAGCTCAAACCAGCAAAAGCACACCCAAATCTTCAACCAGAAAGAGAGCAGATAGTTCTTCAGGCTCTGCAAGTCCAGTCAGACGATCGCAGAGGGATCAACGCAAAAGATCAAGATCTCCTAGAAGATCTTTGTCAAGAAGATCACCTGCAAGACGAACACCAAGATCACCTGCTCGTAGACGATCCAGGTCTCCTCACAGATCTGCCAACAGATCCTCCAACAGACCTTCACGAAAATCAAGGTAATACATTGAACAAAAACTGCTCTCTTCAAAGATACAGTGATATTATGTTGGACACAAAATTATTTGGAATTGTTAACTGCAGCTGAAATCCATTTGAGTTCTTGTATTCCTAATATTTCTAAAGTATTATATATATCACATCAAATTTCTTGTATTATATGTGTAAAATGTATTTTGTTACGTTGTTCTTCATACAATTTGATTGAACTAATCTTCCGCTTCAATATCCTATTATTTTTGGAACTATTGATTCATCCATCACTGTAATAATTTTTTTGAATTCATGGGGATATATATTTGTCCAATGCATAATCTGCTAAAGCTAGGTTGGCTTGCTTACTCCCATGGAAACACTGGTATTTCAAACTCATAAAATCTGAATGCAACTTTGTAGGAGCAGGTCAGGTGACAGGTACAGAAAGAAAAGTCCAGTCAGAAAGTAAGTAACCAGCTTTATATACCAGAGATATGGTCGTGAACTGCAATCCAACACCGCTCAAATCTAACCCTGCAATACTAGACCCATATCTTATTGACTTTTCAATGTTTATTTTAGAAGTGGACATTCTCGAAGTCGAAGAAAGAGTTCATCCTCTAGTTCTCCTAAATCCAAGAAACGTCAACGTCGAAAGTCTTCCTCATCTTCTGGCAGTGATTAATTAATGTTTGATGTTAAAAGATTCTGTGTTTCACATGACAACATGGACTTGGACTTAAGGTGAACAGCAAAACCAACGAAAAGAATAACGTAAAGCAGCCCTCATATGGTTTCAAATAAGGAAAGCAGTCATAATATTCAAATGCACCTGAGTTTTTGAGTTGCATTCAGAACTCATGGCCACTTTCATTATTAGTAACCGTACGCTACTGGCAATCAATATGGTGTGAGGGCACCTTAAGATTTTTGTGCATGACATTCTAGTGCATGGAAAAGTTATCAACAAAATTCTCTGGTTCTTCTGTTTTTATTAATTTATGTGAAATTTGGTGAAGAATTTAATTATTTATAACTTTATCATCTTAAAATTGGGATCAACAAAATTGTCTGATTCTTCAAAAATTCAGATTGTGTGAAATGAATTTAGTATTGAAGGGACTCTATTCCACTCTATTAAACAACTCTTTCTGTGAAGTAAGCTGTGATTACATGTGTTAAGAACCTGAAATGTAATTAATAAAAAGTGAACATAGCAAACCCTATCCATTAGTCCTTAGCAAATCTGATTTTTGGCTTTTAACCATTTATAACATCACAGACTTTCCTCTCCTCTTTTTGCAGAATTATTGTACGGACACATGGAAGCACTTTTTGAGTTTGGGGTAGGGAGGGTTTTAATCTAGAGGGTTCACACATGATTAGAAATTCATAATGAATCTTGCATTGTACATACCATTTCCACATTTTTCATTAAAAATTGGAATTTTCCTACTTCTTTACATTGAAAAGACATTTCAAGAAAATGCCAAGTGTAAATTGATGTTTTTTGTTTTATTTGCAAAAGAGTCATACTTTTGTTACATAACAATTTTAAAATCACTGTGTTTTCGGCACGGGAGGTAAAAAAAGGATCGTAATTTGATAACTTCTGTAGTGAAAGAAATCGATATTTTGTAGAGGCATAAAGAAAACATTCTATTGATTGAAAACATGACATCTAATCATCTAATGCTGGGGGCACATTTTTCCACTGTGGCAATAATCACTTGGTTATCATTTTATTGAAGTAAAAATGCCTCTTGTGTGCCCCCAGCATTAGACAGAGCTTGTGTGTGTTTATAATCAATACCTTACTGTTAATGCTTTGAACATTACTCACTTGAACATAAATGTTAATTTTATTGTTTCACTGCAGCCATTTCCCAATCATATTAAAAATCTGATTTATGTGGAATGAATATAAATGTTAGAGCAGAAAAATGAAAATAAGAAAGCAGCATCTCAATCCATTTTAGTGGTCACCCCTTTTACGTATGTTTAAATAGTATTATTATTATATGATTGAGGAAAAAGACTTTCTGGTATTGTAATAAAGTTGGAATGTTAGCGTACTTTATGTGGATTCATTAAAGGACTGAATCATATTTTAAACTTTTATGTATAATTGATTAAAAAGCTTCCTTTGCAAGCTTTTTGAGCTCATTAAAACCATAAAAGGCAAATATCAGCAGCAACAAATGCATAGTCTTCTTGAGGGATTCGTTGACAGAAAGCTGGTTTTTTATTCCAAACAAACATCATTTTATTGCTTCAGCCATTGACAGTGCTTTCCACAGACACCTGCATTTGCCTTTAGATAAAACCTTTAATGATTGTTAGTCCCACACTTTTTAAATGTCATCTTCGTGTAAAAGAACACTAAGGGCATCAATTTATCACCATTCCAGTTTCAATCAGATACGTTCTATAAACACTTGACAATTTATGATGTAGCTATCGATTATAGCTATTTTCTATATTTAGAGAGCTAGTGAGCAACCCTTTACCCCCACCTTCACAATATCAAGCAATTATGAACTGTCTTACACCATAACTGCAATAGCTTTTCTTGCATCGCGGAATGCAGCAATTTGATTGGATTTTGATTTGATTGAGCTGATTGTTTACAGACTTTCTAACAAAAACTCTGATTAGCTGTATTTGCTAGCATGAAATCCATTCAAAGAACTGCATTTATAGAAAAGGTGCAGTCAAGGTATAAGATACAGATTATAATAACTTGACCCTAGTGAAGTTGACCTTGATGTCAAAAAGGAAAATAGAAAGAATAAAAGTTGAAACAAAATTTTGTTCAATTACAAAAATGACAGATCTGTGTTAAACACAAAACTAGTTACAATATAACATTTATAAACTTGTAGATGATAGGTTAATAACCAAGTATATTCCCAATAATTAACCTGTGATTAACAAATGGAATAACTTAGGACACAGAGGCCAGATAATCTTTCACTTCGGATGTTGTGAGTCGACGGAAACCATCATGATTACAAATACCAATTTCTATATTATCTTCAGTCATTTGTCCTTCAAAACTTTCTTTCAGTGTTAAAATAGCAGTGTGTACTGCATCCTCTAGTTCTAACTTCTCACTATATCTGTAAATAAATAGATCATGGACTGTAACCCTCAATTTGACAATTTTATTCCAAAAAAAAGAGAATACCTGTACCTTGCTTATGGTGCAAACAATGATACACCAACTATTGTGACGAAATTTAGTGTTCAAACATAGAGTCCTATATGAACAGTTACAATAAATTTTAGTAAAATGTGATTCCCCAACACCTTAAAAATAGTAAATTTGTAAAATTGTGAAAAATTCACTCACCTCTTTTCTAAGAACGTTTTTCCATTTATATGGTTTTTACCCATAGCAGTTGCTTTCCAAGCAAAATATGCTCCCTGTAAATATACATATAACTTCCATTACCAAAATACATTCCAAGGTTTTATATATGATTTAAGAAACTTTGAAGTGAAATTAGCAGGTATATCAGTTTCTCCTAGAATTATATTCATAGATAGACAATATTTACTAATATTTGCTATGTGGACTTTCCAAAAAGGATGCCAAGCTGACAAACCCAGTCATAGAGTAACCTCAGTTGCTTTGACAAGGAAATGGGTACAGCCTGTCACACTATGATGTTTTTTAAATTAGACTTGAATGATTAAAAATAGCAAGGGATCTAAAAAATAAGACCTATTTGAAATTTACTTACTGAAGGATCACATTGATAGAGATAAGGTTTTTCTTCAAAGTCATCCCAGCCAGCCATTAATAATGAAACACCAAATGGTCGTACACCACTGTAATAAATAAATCACATTTGTCATGGGTCAACTACTGGACTATTTTATTTTTGGTATGGTGGGGTATAGGTAATACGGTAAGTCATCTAAATGATAACTCTTTATTATATAATGAACTCTATCAAGCATGTACAATATCAATCAACATCGCATTGTTGTATAAATTCTAGGATAAGTTTTGAAAATAAGGAGTGTTTCATGATGCTTCCTCAAAGTTCTGTCTGATCTGTGTGTCCGATGACCTTAAGTCATTTTCACTGCTAATTTAAGTCGACCCAGCTGTAAGTAAATATGTGCGGAAAAGATTACTGGCCAAGGACCAAATTTCACTATATCTGAAGATAAAGTTTGAAATCAGGGACAAAATAAGTCTTACCCAGACTGAGTGAACTCCTGCATCACTGTGGCCACTCTCTGAACTAACTGAGCTGTAGGTATCTGTTCTTGATAAGTTAAGTAATAAGACTGGGCTAATTTCCTGGCTCTGGTTAATAATACCCTGAAAGAACAAAATAGAAACATGTACCTAAAATATTTAAGTTATATTTTATTATAAATATAATCATAAGTACTTAGTCTGAAGCCCAAAAACAAAACCTTAAAATAAATCTTGGCGGTTGACCAATCAGATGACTTGTATACTGAAATCTTTGTAAGACAGCTTTCATAAAATCCCGTCAAGTAAAGTAATCCATGTACTAGAATAATCCTGGCTATATGCATCCTACTTACCTGTAGTCAGGTCCCATTCCACTATAAACCATTCCAATGTTCTTGGTGATATAATCTATCTTATGTATGCTTTGATCATCGTACAGAAGGGATTTCTGTTTTTTCTCAGTTGCTAACACTACCCCATTGACAGCTGGAAAATTTAAGGGTAATGATGGGTCATTCTTGGACGAACTAAAGATTTCAGATGTGCAGGCTTAGAAGTGGAAGGGTGTTTAGGGGTTTTTATTCAATCGAAACTTCCCATCCCCTATAATACTAATAGGCATAGAAAACTACAAAAAAAAAGGTTTTGTCATATGAAAGCTAATAATTTCTTAATTAAATAATAGCAAACTTGACAAGATTCTCTGTGAAAAACGCCAATCATTTTATTCTTTAAGAATTATCACCCAGTCAGTCCTACGCCTACTACTGAGTAAATGAATTCTAGCCTAGTCATACTCAGTCTCATTTATATTTATAAAGCTAGTGTTGGCGAAAATTTGAGGATCTCACCTTTGATGCCTACAGATGGGGCTCCAGCACTAACTGCAGCAAGAGCATATTCTATCTGAACCAGCTTTCCAGATGGACTAAAAAATACAAAAAGAACAAGGTGATATGATTGAAGAGAAAGAGAAGATTTTGTTTGTAACTTGGCTACAACTGTGAAAACTGATTAAAAAAGAAATCAAATGAAACATAAATTTGCTTGTCCTAATAAGACCTTATGCCAAGCTAACAAAGAATTAAGATAAAGAAGAAAATACTAGATTACCTGAAAGTAGTCAGAGAAAAACTGTATCGTTCGGTCATTTTGATAATGTTTTAGTCTGAAAGATGTAAACCTAAGATTCTGGTACAATGAAATTCATTGGTTGTTCATTTATTTCAACCAATCAAGTTTCCTGTGACAAACTAAAATACAAAATGGCGGCGCCCAGCAGCATGACTCGGCTGTTGGTGGCTTTCAATCGATTTGAAAGAGCATTTCGCCAGTGGATTGGTATCCATCCACCTGCAGGTAAATTAGAAACTTTAAAGATTAATATTAACGCATTGTTTTGTCATTGTTTTGAATGAAAACAGTATTATTTTTTCTTTTTTGCCTTGCTGCGGAAGAGTTTTCTCCCTTACATTGCAATAATCCAGACCACAAATATTTATTGCTCTTATGACAAATATAATAATGTATATAGAGTAAGAAAAAAATCCTCAAACATCTAATTAAGCAAATTGTTTTTCGTTGTCAGGTTTTCAAGGAGCATTAGTGTGTGATGTTCATCATATTGAAAGTAATCCAAACCAGACTTCAGGGTCCATGAAATCGTTGCTTGATGATATATTTAGCAATACTTTATTTGCTGTTCCTAGAAATCGCAGATCGAAAGAGATACGAAGGACACGGAAAATGCAGATTACAGGACATTATGAATATGCATTACCAAAAAATAATATTGTATCCTGTTTAGAATGTGGTCATTGGCATGAAAAACAGACCCTTTGTGGTAAGCTTAAATCACAACATAAAGCTTCTCACATAAACAATAAATCTTTTGATCACAATTGAAGTCAACATCAACTGTCTTACTAATGTTATCTATAGAAATAGATATGATGGATTGGATAAATAGTGTTTAGAATGAGAGCATTTTGCTCATCACAATATCCAGTAAAACTTTTCAAAATTGTTCCAGTAATGATAGGCTGTCTCTGTTGTGACCAAATATCCATATAAGATTGTATATTGTTTGATACCCCTTTATTTTTCATATGATACTGTAAAGTTAACTTCTCATGTGAACAAAAAAATCTGTGCTGAACTAAACATGTAAATATCCATGATCAAGAGCGCTCATTTGTAAATTTTGGTGTGTTTATTTATGGCCTGTCAACAATTATATTGTTTTTTTTTCAGGCAATTGTTATGATAAAGTGAGAAAAGAAACTGAAGAAATGCAGGAAGCCATGGGTACAGACACCTTAAAATATTCACAACCACAATCAGAAGTAATGTTTTTGTATGAGGGCGAGGAAACAGAGAATGTGAAGGGAAAATATGTTGTGAAAGTCGACAAGGAAAGGCCTGGATGGTTTTCTAAAAATCTGTTAACTAAAAGAACTATTGGTGGAAGTGACAGTTAGCCTTAAAGCACAAGGAGAAATGTTTTCTATAAATAAACAAATCATTTATTAGTCCATTTGACAACTATTTGTGAGAGACCACATATCTTCTAATAAATTTTCAATAAACAAAAAAAAGAGTATTTTAAAGTGCTAGAATGATGTAGAATTTGTTGTACATAGCCTTGTGTATTAGTTTACTAAGAATTATTATTTCACCCATGTAGTTAAAGTTCAGTAAACAAATGTTTTGTGGAAAATAAATTTCTCTTCTTCTGAATATTTTTCCTGAATTAAAAATCTTACCCTCAACATTGGAGAATGAAACATCTGCCTCTGATGGCTATTATGATTTATAGATGTCAACTGCTGTAGAGACAGAAAAACTAGGACTTGTATTATTGGTATTTTTTGGCACCTTTAAGGGTGCACAAGTTTCATACCTATTTATTTACATAGGATACACTAAAGCCAATAAATATACATTTCATTTATAAATGGTCTTCAGAAGTACTAGCAATGTTCGAAAACACATAATGCCTTTAAATTTCGACGTGAGCTGTAAACACTTTTACTGATTGGCTTTGCTTGAAAAATTCCCCCGTTTCTGAGACCAAGGTACGATTGGTTAAAAAAGGCATCTTGTTCAATTAAGTTCCTTGTCTGATGTTTTCCGATCACTGAAATTGTAGTGGGTCCATGATTAATTGCTCAAACAATCACAATCGACAACTGGGTTGATCTGGAACAATATACCTGCACTCAATACTTTTACAAGAGAAAGCAGTAAATGCCATGAAGTGTGAAATGAGAAAATTGGCAAATATCGCATCCACCTTTTTTTTCAATCTGAACCCCAATAAGGCCCAACATTTCAAGAGCACACAATGCAATTGACACAGGCTTTGTCAAATCAGGCTTTCAGAGGTGTCCACTTGGTCAAAAGCACATGTGGATCATGACAAACAAGAAATGATCATGCAATTTTGCCTCTCATTGACTTATGAAATGGAGAGTTGTATCCTCTCTGCACTGGACAGACAAGAAAAACAAGAAAACAAGGTAAAAGGTTTTATAATATAATCTAAGATCACCACTTATAATAAAGAAGCAAATTTTTAGTAATATAATATCACTCAATTCATACCAACTTATTTTTTTATTCAAAAACAAAAGAAACCAAATGCATGAGCTGATGAATAGAAAACAAATCTCATTAAAATTTCACTCTTGGAGAAAAAAAAAATATCAAATGCATTTTCTATTTCTAGTGTCACATAAACCTATAGTTCTCAAAATTAAAATAAAAACCCTGTTATTCAATTAATATCCTTTAGAATTTTAATATCAAAAAAAAAATTTGATTAAAAAGTATGACAGACATTTCAGCTATATTTATTTATTTTAAATCAAAAACCTTTCAACATATTTTGTCTTTTTTTTTTTATCATTTTGAAACTTAAATTAACAAATACTAGTTATTATTTTCTCTGTAAAGTCTTCACCATTTATTTCTTCCTGTATTCCTCCTCACACATTTGCTCAATATTTGGTCTATTTGGAGAGAACCTCTGGTTCTTGTAGTCTACAGTTGGCGAAAAGAACTGGAAAAAAAGTTGAAAATCTTAAGTACCACTTCTGAAAAATCCTAAGAAATATGGTCGTTAGACCTTAGCTGTTTTTGCTCATAAAGTAGAGTTCCAAACTATCTTTAGCATTCTGGGAGCCACAGTGGCTCAGTGAGTTAAACATTTTCTCGCTAACCTGAAGGTCCAGAGGTAAGATGAAGGTACCAATGGATGGTTAACTTAATGCTAAAATCAAACTCTCGCACTAAATGACCAAGGATTGTCTGAGCATACAAGGCCATACCCTGATGGAAGGCTGTATTCATTCATCCCTTACCTTGTACTGATATTTCTGATCTGTAGACATCCATGGGTCGCGGTTCTTCTTCACCCTAAAACACAATGATACAACATAATAGCCATCATCTTGATTCAATAAGCACAACATAAGAAAATACTTCACTAATGAATCTTCTGAAATCATATTTCTTGCTCACTAATGGGAAGGCTTTTAAAAGCCATGAAGGCAATTAACTTACTACAAATAAGCAGCAGACAACAATCAAATGAGCCATCCTTCTACCCCTGGGGATTGATTGCTTGATAATTGTAAAAATTAAATGACCTTTTCAATCTCCCTCCTGACTGTATAATACTCACCAAGAATCAGGACAATAATAAGTTAGCCGCCATGTGTACCAGGCAGCAAAGACACATCCAACAATTGTTGCACCATACAATGGAATCAACTGAAAAATCAAATGATCAGAGATTTATTCTCATTTCTATTCTACAACTGATCAGTCAGTAAAATCAAAAACAGATAAAATAAAGTTTGTTAACATACTGAAATAAAGTAGGTTGGCTATTTCATGAAAACAGATAAATTGCAATAGGGACACTGCTTTAACAAACAGAAAACTCTAAGATAGTGAATCATGTCCAAATATACAAAGATGTGTGTACGGTATATAAAACCTTGACTGGATTGCTACATTACTTAAAATTGCAAATACCATCTAACTTCTATCATAATATGCCATTTTGTGATGTCATTGATCTTGTAATCTACTTAAGTTTTCATTTGATACAATGTTTGGAAATGAAATGAAACTTAACCTTCTTGCAAAACTTTATTAATTCATTTGCTACATGATATTCTTGACAAAACAAAGCAGCTACTGCATGAGCAAAGTAAAAAGATTTTTGAATTTTTTTCCCTTTATTTTTATGAGAATTTGAAAAGCAGCCTCAAATAGGAGAAATATGTGTTAGTAAACTTACAATACCAGTAAATCACATTCTAAGAATAACAGTAATATTATTTTGAGGCTGATAATCCAATTCTTTAAAAAAACAACAAAAAATTCAAAAACCTTTTTCTTTGCTGAGACAAATACTGGAAAAAAATCTACAAACTGTAGGCCTACATGTCGTGAACTGAAGTCTGATGAAGTATTTTGGGGGGCTGATTTGGACCTTGATGGCTTGAATATATGTTAATAGGCTTCAAAATAAAAAGTCTCTTAGAATGACGACTTTAGAATAACTTTCAAACATAGATAATTACTTGAATGTGAAGAAGTTTTGAACGTTATTTCTGATAAGATTGTTCCACTACGGAACAATTCACGTTTCAGAGACCAAGACTATGAAAAACTTTGATAATTTCCTAAATTTGACAAGCCTAAACTAATGAAGCCTATAAGCGTGTTTATACTGCACTGATATTTAGCCATGCCATACTCGATCCAGACCGAGACCACCTCTTCTCAATCTCGGCCCACTTGAAACTAGCACGGTACCGAGCCCTCTCAATCTCTTTACACGTACCGGTACTTGGTCGGAGTCGACCCAGATAATTTGTGGCTGTCTAACTGCGGCTTATGACAATGAAAGGATGAAAATATCAAACATTAAATCCAGGCTAGTCTTATAGAGATAAATAAAATACAAAAAATCACAGAAAATACAAAAAATAATCTTACTGGATAGTGGTGCTTTAACATTTTCCATCTAAAAGTATCTTTGAAATCATTATGTCCTGGATGGTGAAGAGGTGTTTCGGGTACATTGTGCAACCCTAGCATTTTCTTGTCCTTCGACATCTTGGCGACTTGTTTGTCCGAAATGTATGAATTTCTATATACCGACTTCGCCACAGTCGCAAAGGTTTTTCTTGTCCTACGAAGGTGAAGGACGAATCTCTAAGCCAAAAGTGTTTAGAATTTAAATTTTACTTTATTTTGATTTTTGCCGAATATAAACAATGATTTATAACACTTTGGATTAAAAATCAAAATGGATTATTTTTCTTTCATCAGAATAGATCTACTGTGGTTTAAAAATATCAAATTTAAAGGATTAAAGTTTTAACTTTTTAGAGACTAGCTCTAATTTTGTAAGGGCAGACAACCCTTTGTGATTACTTTTTATATGATTAAATTTTATGATTAATGAAATTGCAGGCAATTAACTGAAGAAAGATGGAAAATCTTTACATGGATGATGTCGACCCTAGCGTAAGCTTTCTGTTTAAAACAATGCGTAAGTGTTTGAGTTGTTGATAGTGTTGAAAACGCAAACATGACTTCTGCTTTTGCTTTGTTGCTGTTTTTTGTGACTTTCAGAACAGCTCAATTTCAGAGTTGAAATTTGACATCAGCTTCACTTTAATACAACTACAGTATAGCCTTCTATATGATCAGTGATGATTGATAAGAATGTAAGGAAATAACATCCATGACCGATGGGGGAGCAGGGGATCCTACACCTACTAACTAGACCTATACTCTCACTTCATTGAGCTTTGAATTGAAATTTTTCACTCGTTTGATTAAATATTCAAAATAGAATTTTCAACTTTATGCTTTTGACATAGAATGTCTTCGGGTCTATAGAAATATGATGTTCAGTGATTTTACATATGAAATAGACATACTGCCCTTACAGAAATTCAGCTGAAAATTCCCCTCTGTAAAATCAAGTTACAAATAATAACTTTTCCAGTGGATGACACGTTCATCAACTCATAGGCAATCCACAGACTTTAAGTGGTATTTTTAATTGATATTTCAATTGATATGAAATAGTTGCCAAAATTCAATTCAGAAAACAATGTCTTCATTTATTTATTTCATATTTAACATTCTGTTTTCTAGTTGAAAGAGATCCGAAAAAAAGAAGAGTCAAGCCAGTACAGAAACATATGATCCAAGTAGATTTTGGTGGGGGAGAGGACAGTGATGAAGATTCAGATTTTGATATGAAAAAGCATAAAGGTATGAATCAGGGACATATATCATATCAGAAAATATCTTCCTAAGTTAGATCTAAATCTTATTAATCTTATCAATTTGCTTTTCAATTACACTAATCCAAATTGATTGATAGATATCCAAATGTTAAAAGGCTTAACATAGTTGAAATTTAATGTAATGTTTTGTTTGTTGTTTAGTCCTTGGAAATAACCTTAAAAAAGCTCATCATTCAACTTTTCCACTTTCACTTAACATGATGTAATGTTAAAAAAAAAATCCAGTGGAAAAATTTGTATGTAGAAACAATATTTCAACCCGTCCTTGAATGACTTTACCACTTTTCCAGCAAACAGTGATGGAGAGGACAGTGATGATAAAGTTCATGAACCAAGTGATGAGGGTGATGTAAATAATGATGATGAGGAAAGTGATGATGATGATGATGATGATGATGATAATGATAATTCTGAATCCGACTCTGATGAAAGTCAGCCTGGTAAACCTGGACTAGACATTTTGAATATGGATCTAGACAGTGCTGATGATGAAGATTATGTTCCTAACCAGAAGAAAAAAAAACTTCTTCCATCTTCAGTGACAAAGGAAATCACAGAATCATTAGAGGTATGATATTGAAAAATACAAATATGACAAAGTATTATTAGCCTTGTGGATTCTCTGAAATAGAATGGCAACTCAAGTTAAATCAAATCAGTATCAGTTCTCTAAAAGGGATTATTATCTATGTGGATCTATCTGATCCAAAGAGATGCTTAGTGTAACAAACCAAATTATTATTAAAACAATAGTAGCTCTGTAGATTCTTGAATGTATGTGTTTTTTGACACTTGTTGCTAAAAATTGATATAGTAAAAGATAATATGATCTTGTATCAAATTTTAATATTTTTTTTTTCCTTTTCATATCATTCATTGTTTTGTCCCCTTAGGCTGAATGTTAGACAGAACCATGCTTGTGTTTTGGACCTAATTTCTACACATGTAAAATAAAGAGTTTATTTAATATTATTATATCTATATTTCAGGCACCTACTCCACCTCCAGTTATTGATAATCAAGATATCAAAATTGTTATTTGTTGTGTTTGTCTTACAGATGTAACGTAAGTTTTTTACTTCCCTCAAATTAACAGAGATAGATACTTTTGATTATAAACCTAGATATTTACATGATGTATGCCTTATGAATTTCACATATGTTGGAAAGTTAGTCAAATATTATCCAAATAAAGCTATCACAGTATCACAGGCTAAAAGTCAGTCTATCAGTTTTGAAAGTTAAAATATAGTCTTAAGATTGCAAAATCATGCATATCAGTTTTTCATATGATGTAAATTTGTGATGCAATATTTATTTTATATTTCTAGAGGGGCTGATGATGAAATAGTAGAATGTGATAATTGTGGTGTACCTGTACATGAAGGTTTGTATATATACTTACTACTAGTAGTTACATTACCAGGTCTATCTGTGTAAAGAATGTTTCCTGTTATCTTGAATAATTATTTACATAATAATTGTTGATCATATCTTTTAAAGAGAATTGACAGTGATGGTATTCTGTATATTTCAGGTTGCTATGGTATCAGTGATAACCAATCAGCAGCCAGTACTGAATCCTCCGCTAGTACGGAGCCATGGTTCTGTGATGCTTGTAAAGCTGGTGTTAAACCTGTAAGTTTTAATATCTCGAATTTCATATTGGTAAAACAATTGTATTAAACCGCTACAACACAAGGCAGAACTAGTTTAACCTCCCAGAACACCTGGTTCCACTTTGCTGCTTGACATTTCATACATAATTGTTACATATCTTTTCGTGAACCTTGTATTGCATACCTAGTACTAAGAGATATAGAGTGTAAAACTACATTTTCTTTTCTTGATATTTCAGAGTTGTGAACTATGTCCTAATTTTGGAGGAATTTTTAAGGAAACAGACACAGGAAAGTAAGTGTCCTTAAATTATTTTACTGATTATCTAAGACATTTATTTTAGAATGCTGAAAACATTGTAGACGAATCTGAAGCAATATTGGTTACTGTTTGAAATATTGCTTCCTTTTTTTTAGATAGTATATATAACTATCATTTGTAACAATTTATTTTATAGGTGGGTACATCTGGTATGTGCTCTGTATACTCCTGGTGTAGCATTTGGTGATGTGGATAAACTAAGTCCAATAACTCTGTTTGAGATGCCCTATTCTAGATGGGGAGCTAGGGTGAGTATTTATTGACATTGTATTGAAAATCCTTGGAATATCACCAGCATGTATTACCCATCAAAACATTATTCCAGCATAGCACTGTAGCATAAATAGGTAATCTAAAGCTATATAAAGCATGCCCAATGGTATGATGTAAAACACAAATTCATTGTCTTAGCTTGATAAGGTTCAAAACAGTTGGACATAATATACGTACTTTATTGAGGTATGGAGTTTAATTGCACAGTAAGATGGAAAACCCTATTTCAATTCATCAGTCCCATATGTACCATATGAAATAAAAATCCAATCGCTTTTCAAAGAAAGAATTAGTTAAACTTTCACTTGCCTGATAAGGGGAAAATGTAGAATATAAAACTTTATTTAATTTATCTATGTTACAGGAGTGTACACTATGTGAAGATGTACGATTCAGTCGAACTGGAGTTTGTGTAAGTTGTGATGCAGGAATGTGTCGATCATATTTTCATGTTACGTGGTAAGTCATAGCTCTATCAATCAGGGCAGCTGTTCTATCAGTTTTTAAGCGGCCCTCACACGATAGCGATCACAAGTTGCTGATGATATGATTAAGAATAGTAGTCATGAATTTTGAACAATGGTAATAACAATGGTGTGAGGGTGCCTTTATTTTTTACATTGTATGGTTGTCTTGTTCAAATCCTCTTTCCATAAGATTATTCAATTATTAGATGACTACTTCCGTCGTTTACGTTATTTTCAGTGCTCAGAGAGAAGGGCTATTATCTGAAGCTTCCCCGGAAGAAGTTATGGTAAGCTTATATTTATTTTGTTTTCATATTTATTTGAATTTTTTTAGTTTAGTTGATCCAATAAGATTGATTATTAGAATTTAAATGAATTATTTCTGGATTAAAATATGATCAAAATGGTGTGCTTTAACCAAAAAAGAAATCGTCTGTGTATCATGTGGTAAGATTTTCCTCACTCCACACTTCAAGGTGTTTCATCTCTTAAAAAATAAATGTAAGACTCTAGTTTATTAGCCAAATAAGGATAATCAGTAACATTTTTTTTTTTTAATTAATTGTTTTATGTTCCTCCTTTGTCAAGCTATATTTGATCTATTTTAGGATATTGCTGATCCATTCTATGCATATTGTAAACTACATGCTGATAAGAATACAGCTCGAGCTAAGAGAAGAAATTGGCTGGCCATACAATCTCGAGTCAAAAAACTCAGGGAGAAAGTTATTGAAGATACAAAGGAAAAGGTGAGTGGGATTCAAATTTTGTAATCATTTTGGAAGGTGTGTATGACCTGTGTTAGAAATTCATCCTTAACTTAATCTGTTTGTAAAGGGTTTCTTACTAAAGAGCAAAACTAACCTGTCTCAATCCAAAGCTCAAACATTGCATTATCAAAACTGTTACTTTCTTCGATTCATGCTTATATTCTGTGTTACATATTTTAGGCTAGATTCGAAAGAAAATTGAAAAGACACTGTGAAAAATACACCATTGCCAGACAAAAACGACCACCATCTTGGGGTGAGATTAGATTGAATTTAGAAATATTTATATTGTGATCTGAAAGATAATTTGAAAATGTGTTGAATTGGATTTTACATATATATATACCTTTATGATATCTGACTGTTTCAGTACCCACCCAGAAAATGGTTAGATTTCTAACATCAAGTCCGTCTGCTGTGAGGAATATGTTACGGAAAGCTGAGTTGATGGGAGTTATAACTAACGTAAGTTTCCGAATCTTCTTTGTAGGGTCCATCCTGTATTTACTATATTATACTGTATCTTCCCCATTGTACACTGAATTCATTGCGTCTGACTTTATTAGGTAAAACACCATCTCTTTTTTTTTAGCTTAATTTGTTCTTAGATTCATTCTTTTGACCTACAGGTTCAGACGGCACCAAATCAGAAACAGGAATCAAGGAAGAAAGGAAGTTCAGCAACTCCGGCTTTATCCACAGATTTTATAACTCACTATTTAGGTAACTATTGATAATTATACATATCTTTTTAAAGAATTGTTGAGGCATATAGAATCTAACAGCATTGGTTTGTTGGGTTTGAAATTTTATCTGTACATGTCAATTTTCTCTTTGAGATTCTAATTTACATCAGATTTAGACATGTAGCTGTAACTTAAAGGTATCCTTTAATTAACTTTACAGAGCGTAATGTACGTATTGATAATATGAAGAATAATCTAAAAGACTTGGTTCAACAAAACAGCAAATTACACGAACAGGAGAAAATATTACGTCAGAGATACGACAAGGTTAGATTTACTTTATTTTCATATTTCATTAGGGTCTGCAGACAGATTCAATTTCCACATAGCAGTCGAAATATTGATTTATATCGTGCTCCAAGGCTCAGAATATCTGCCCTTTAGTATATATTCTTATCACAAAACATAATACAAGCTTACAATGAGCCGGTAAACTAAACTAAGAAGTTCATGGATTTGAGAGATTGTCTTGATGGATTGGAGACTTCATATTTTTCCTTTGCATTTTATGTCAGTTGGTAGATACATGAGTAATTAATTTGTGAATATAAAAGTGGTATCAGTTTGGTTTTAATTATGACAAAACTTGGATATACGTTCATATGTGTAAGCTTACTTATTATATTTGAGATTTCTTTTTTTTTGTGATCTTTTATTATGTTTATTTCTGTTCCATTGTAGCTGTTAAACAGTAGTACATTACTGAAAGATAAATATAGTGATTTAAAGGAAGAAGGAGAGGGATTGTGGAAGAATTTGATTGGAATTGGAGGAAAGGTAGGCATTAATATTCATATTTTTAATCAATCAAACCCTTTTCTTAGACCCTATTTCTAATTTCTATTGGTTGATTTTTCTCAAAGGTATTTTTCTTTGTAAATTCATGTTCTCCTGACAAATCTTTGTCTTTGAGATACAATTTCAAAATTAGATCACCATTATTTCATATATTATTGTTGATCATAATTATTTCTGACATATGTAATGCCATTTATTTTTAGACAATCAAATTACCAGACATATTAAAGCCAAAGAAAATTACAAAATCACCAACTATTAGAGATACACCCAAATCACCTCCTGCTATAATCCATCAGTAAGTGAATTTATCCTAGCAAGATATTTTAAGAAACTGCATCAAATATCTTGAAAATTACAGGTAGTGTTCCAGTCATCTTTCGTTAAAACAACTTATACTGTATTTTTGAATATTTTGATGTTACCTAACAAAGTTTCCATTGTTGAACAGGCAAGTTTTCAACAAAATAGATTGCTTGTGTTTTCCCTGAATGTGCTCAAACAAATATTCTATTGTTTGTAGATGTGGTATTTGTAAGAAAACAACAGACCAACATCAGCTGGCTAAATGTGATTTGTGTAAACTCTACTATCATCTGGGTTGTTTGGATCCTCCTCTAACGAGAATGCCTAAAAAAACTAAACTTATGGGCTGGTAAGTTCCTTATATTTCATGTTTGCAACATTAGCATCAATTGGACATCATATATTGAGATTGTAATAGAAATTAAATGTAGTGTTACGTCCTACTTTTCAATTCTTGATTGAGCTATACCATGCAGTGTGCAATGAATAAATTTTACCTAATCATTTTCCATTTCCACTCAGGCCTCAAAGTATGAACGATTAGATGCTTTCTCTTTTTTAGACCCTGTGACATGCATCACTGACAGGGAAAACCAGGATGAAAGTATAAGATTTTTTGATGTAACTTAGTCTTCTGAAAGCTAAAATAATGTCCAAGGAAATTATTAGGTGATAATATCACTTTACTTTACCATTTTTTCAGGCAATGTTCAGAATGTGTGTCGTCTTCTAGTGACTCTGAGAAAGAGGTGACAGTTGAAGATGTTGATGGACCAAGACGTCTGAGAGAAACTATCAAAGAACCACTTAAATTCCAATTTATGGAGATGTACGACTTTAAAAAGGTACCGTTTCTGATTGATGAATACTTAACATTAAGTTTGCTTGATCATAGAGAAAGAAAAAAACAATTCCATTTCTTGTAGTTGGTATGATGATCTATGTGCATGATGTGAAACTTTATAGGTATACAGTTGTCTAAATATTTACTTTATCACATGATAGAGCTCAATTTCAGCTATCTGTTACACTTTCTATAATTAATTTATAGAACTTAATTCTGTAAAAAGAAACAGATAGCTTAAATTAAGCTTTATCAGCTGGTAAGGCGAATATTAAGAGGGCTGTATCTATTTAAAGAGCGCAGGAATCGGAAACACAGAAACAGGACAATACATAATAACTTAGTAAAAGAGTTCTTCTCTTATCTTGGACTAACTTTTTTGACTTACAGAGAGAAAAAATCAAGAAAAGGAGTAAAACCAAGAAAAAAGTAAAAAAGACAGAAGCAGAGACTAGCATAGATATTACACCAGATGATATTCCTGTAAGTTAAACTCTGTCTGAATTTTTTTTCTTTATAGCTTATATTCCTAATAACTGTGTTTTGTTTATATTTAAATTTTTCAGTTAACAGTGAAACCTCTAGTACTATACAATAGTATGTAAAATGTACTATCTATCAATTTCATTTTTTTTTTAATACGAACTGGTGTGAATGTACTTTTAGGTAAAGAAATCCAAAGTATCACCACAATACAGACCAAAGAATTTAGCAAGCTCTGGTAGTAGTAATGTTAATTCTGTAGCAAAGAAGAAGGAGAGCCCTAAAGAACTAATGGTGGAGTGTGTTGTTTGTAGTCAACCTGGTCGAACTAGTAATACTGTTAGGTACTATATATTATTGTATTTATAACACGTTTTCACAATGACTTCACCTGGAACACAATTCTGATCAAATTTTAAAGTACAAGATTATGTATACAAAATGGCATCAAATTATCTTATAGAGTGTATATTCAGATCTTTGTTAGACACTCAGCTTCAGTTAGACACTCCAACCAGTGGCTTTAAGATGAAGGTCACAATTATAGATGCTATACTCAAGGCTTTCGGAATTCCCTAAAAAGCCAAATAAAAGTGTTTCTGGATATTTCTTTGGGGTGGGAGGATGTCTCTGTAGGTTGAAAGATATTGTACCTGGATATTGGGCCAAATACTATAAAAATAGTAAATCCATTTCTGAGTGGTGTAATTTGGACTTTTCGGGTTTTGTTTTGCCGTTTGGATTGTTATTTCTTGGCTTATTTAGTTGAAAGTCAAAAGCTGATATATATTTATATTTTAGATGTGATGAATGCCAGCTTTGTTATCATTTTACATGTTTAAATCCACCAGTCAAGAAATCACCCAAGATTCGAGGTTATGGTTGGCATTGTGAGGCATGTGATCCTACAGACGATTCTGTAAGTTAACTTCAGCCTGTCACCCTACTCTTGAAGAAAACACTTGTTTCAATGGTATAAATGGAGTAAAATATATGAATTACTATTAGTTTCAAATGACATCCTTACCAGTTTAGGCATAATACATAGGATCAGTGTTATTGGTAAAAGTTTTATGCAATGCCATGTTTCTCCCTTTGTCCTCAGGATTTGTTGTTGTATAAAGGTATGTCTATATAAATATTACTTTAATGAAAAAACTGATACAAAGTTGTAGAACAATGAACATAATATATTGAAAGAGAGCACACGTGAAATGTATTTCAGGATGATATTGGTCTAGTAGAAGATGAAGACAGTAAACTATCACCACCACCACAAGAAGGCAGTGTTAACACAAGCGATGATGATGTCATGATTGTAGAGCAAGTTGATTGAAATCTCATGGGCTAATACTGATCAAATCAGAAATTCCAAAGATATGTAAAAGGGTGTCAATAAGAAACAGTCCTCTAGGGTAATGAGGCGGTTTTAGTTTGACCTCCTAAAGAGAGAAGTGTGGTAAAATGAAAAGTTGTGTAAAGGGTGGGGTTTAGTGGATTGTATACTGTGTGCTCGGTGACTTTCAGATTTTTGAACCAGTCAAACTAGACTGTGGAAGAGGTTGTGTTCGTTAAAAGTGTTGGAAAGGGCTAGAAAGATATGGGACCTCTTCACAATGTCAAACTATTATTATTAGCATGCAATCCAATCAAATGGCTGCATTCCATGATGCACGAATATTGGCTATTGCAGTCAAGGTACAAGCCGAAGTTCGTAATAGCTTGACATTGTAAAGATGGGTAGGGGATGGTTGGGACATTTTTTTTATTCTATAACCTTTTAGGTCTGGTGAAAACCTATTGTTTACAACTCAAAAACAAAAAAAATAAATTTGAAGATTAATTTGTAATATTTTTAAAACCATTGATGTTATGAGTTACAAAAATGCTTTACTTATTGTTTTGCTGGTTCAAAATTGTTTTTGTTACTGAAACAATTATTTTTTTATGATGAAAATAAAATATTGCTTTGAGTAATTCATTCCAGAAGACTTCTGTTTTAACAAGTTCATTTACTCTCCCCAGTGTTAACTACATGTGTTTCCAAAACTAGCTGTCCTGATGATGATTGTTTCTCCTATTCACACATCAGATGGGCATCCTTTTGGTGTGTAATTACCAATTAAGGCAAACTTTTGACTTGCAAGAATCATTTTAGAGCAGAATCTTCCATTCTACATACAGAAAATATCATTGCTGTGGTGGGTCATGCTCTTCCTTAAATCTTAATTCCACATTGTGAAGGTTCACATAACCAATGCCTGTAATTCTGTCATTTACTACATGCCACAGATGCTACTTTATATCCTTTGTAGATGTGGATCCAACATCATCTAAAATGTCTTCATGCTTTTTAGATAAAGCATCATCCTGTAACAGCACAACCAACTCCTCTTCTGACATAGGCTGTCTCTCGGGGTGTAACAACCGGTCAAAATACGACACAGCAGAATCACTATGACTTGCCACTGATTCATAGTTTGTTTGGAATGTTTGGACAGTGTTTGTTTGTAAATATCTGTTCATATGATCGTCTTTTACTTTCTCCAGAGAAGATAACATCTCTTTTGCTGTTGGTTCTTTTCTTCTGTTCCCTTTAATCCTGGATAACTTGCTTTCTGAAAATTAATCAGACAGGAAGTGGAGGTTAACTAAGTTCTATTACAGCTCCTTGCTAAGCTATAGCAATGGAGCAAAACCATTCAATATGGAGATTTGACAGCAGCACATAAGCCTACATAGATAAGAATAACAAATTTGCCTCATCTCGACAAAGTTTGTCTTAATTAACGAAAATTTTCCAAAAATAAATGTAATCCGTCCTTAGGCACACTTCTAAGCTAAGTCGTTGGGAATGCTAAATTAAGTGTAGGTAGGGCAAATTTAGCTGTAGTCTGACATTTATCTAACACCATAATAAAGGAGTTGTCTCCCGTCATCAGTTTCCACCTACCTAAAGAATTCAGGTACCGTTCAGAACTGATCACTTGGAAAAGCGGATCTGAAACTGGCGGAGAAAGGACTCCCGATGTGTTCGATGAGGCCCAAGGATCATTCTGTCCGAAATTATCAGCAGGAGGAAAATAACCGTCATCTAATTCCTCGGATCGGTTTTCGTCCACCATTTTCATTTTAGTAGTCTTGTTTATCCAGCGAACTCAAAATTTAATTTCTACATAACTCTATGCGATTAATAGAATCAGACTACAAATAACTTTTCAAAAGTCCAGGGATTTCATTTCAGTAGAACTTGGGACACATAGCCCCTACTGTAGCACTCATGAAGTCTTCAAAGACTATGAAATGAAATCATTGATGAAAAATTATCCAGGTCATAGGCTGGGATATAAATGTCTCTTAATGGACTGAATTTCCAATGAAGGCAGGTGGGACCGAATTTCCAGTGTAGGCCTGTTATGTAGGTTGAAGATCCTTTAAAGTATATGAATTTTGGAACTGCAACTGGTTAGTATGAAAAAAAATATCATTCAGCCCATTATTGCGTATATAGTGACAGCAAATGAGGCCAAAAATATATAACATCATTAAATTTAACTGTTTATTTGATTTTTATTCTATTAATAGTTGTTAGTTTTATTAGGCCCTTATTGTAACAAAAACACCAAATATAATAACAATAATAAAAAAACTAAAAAATTCATCTGACATTACTGTTCAACAGAATATTGAATGCCAGTGATAAAATTAAAGGTAAAATTTAGTCGATCACTTGGTTAAGACCAGTGTGTTTAGTTCCAAACACTCGTTAACAACACAAAGAACATAAACACATGTTTTATCTCAGGAAACCTTGGAAGTGGATAAGCTTAGTTGAGCAAAGATATTTGTGCGCATTCGGGGGAAAAATTTAAAAAACAAACCCTTTACTAAAACTAGAGAATATATTTCAGAAGAAAACTTCCACCTTTTGTAGGACCCAAAAATACTGACACTTTTAATTTGTGACCGAAACACACTTAGTCTAAATATCCTTAATTTTTATGATTCCTCCAAAAAACCTTCTGTGATGTCTAAATCCACTCCAAATTCTGCCTCCCATGGTGTTCGTATGGCTTCTATCAGTAAGTCTATGCCGTGTTTAGTTGCCATGGTGATGTTCCACACTGTTTCCCCGCCTGATTCTTCATCTAATAATGTTAATCGTAAGGCTGTGTTATCTTCCAAAAAGTTCTCCTGAAATTATTCATGTGAAAAGAAATTTAGACAAAGGAAATTAGTGTCACTGGATGTAGAAATTTAGTTCAATGATCACTGGTGTTTATTACACTGCAGACTAATATTGTTCAGAAACTTTTATACAGAAAATCTTAGAATGATGCTTAAACTATAGTGTCCTCTGAGCAAAAAACTAGAAATTCTTAGGTTGATGCTAAAGAAACAGTGTCCCTGTTGGATATAAAAAGACAAGAAAACTATCAACAGGATAATGCACCTCTGGCAAAAGTCTTGAAACAATATCATTTGCAGAAAATGAGCAAGGTGTGGTCTGCCTCTAAAATTTTTACAAAATCAATGAAATTAATTGTACTAATTATGAAGACTAGTAGGCATTAGAAAAAAACATTGGTTTCATATCAGAATATTATCTTACCACAGTAACAATATTGGTTATTCTGTGTCTTTCTAACACTGTAAATTGTTTAGCTGTTGTGTCTTTGTCTAATGGAGCCTGTAACCTGGGCTGCGGCCATTGGTGATTTTCTTTAACCAATAAAATTTCATCATCAGTAATAACAAAACTTACAGGATATCTCGGATTCATACCTAAATAATATTATCAGTATAAAATGACATTTTACTGTTTATTGTATCTGCTTCACGCAAGCCACGCAAGCCTGTAATCCAATGACAGTTCATTGGTGAGTTATTTTAAGTAACATAAATATCAGTAAATAGTCATCAGGTTTTCTCCACTTCTTGGTACACACCACATTACAAGTTAAACAAATGGGACGCACATTTGTCTTATTTCGTTTTTATTAAATGGAAAGCATTATCAAGTCATTTTTATGTAATAACCATTGACCCCCCACCCCCCTCTTTCATTACAAGTGAACAGTCAAACAAAGATTTCATTGCATTAGAACGAGTAGTCCACATTATTTCTAAGAAGTCTAACTTATTATTGAGATTTGTCCTTGATAATTTTCATTGCCTTCCAGCCTATCCGGAATCCAATTGGACTGCTTGTGTGGATGTTTTAGATTGTTCCAAGATGCACACAAATATATTTTCTTTACTTTACCTCTAACAATAAAACCTAATAAATAACAAACAAGAATTCGTTCTTCTCCATTTTTTTTGGTTAAAACATCTGACTGTAATTGTTGAGTTGAGGTTGGACAAACTTCCTGTGTAAAATACGTTTTCATCTGGTGATGGAGGAGAAAATCTTCACTTACAAATATTTCTAGAAAAAAAGACCGAAATATGAATTTGATATTTTTATTTCATTTGATTAATGTTAAACCTATTTTTATCCTAGTAGGAACACAGGCTTAAATAGATCAGTTGTCAGAAGATTGCTCACCTTAAAACTCTGAGTAACAACATATATATTGTACATTTTCATACCACTTACAGTAATCAAATATAGATATATGTGTACTTATCACATAAAGTAACATTACAATTTCAATGGTAATAACTATACTCAATAATATCAGCCAAAACAAAAATTTATCTTAGAACAATGACCCTAACACAAACTATGAATATTGTATGAATAATGAATTTCCTAAAAACTCTTTGTTTTTTGTCCGTTATTTTTAACAAACCTTGAAGAAATTTGCAGTAACTTTGGCATCGCTTCTCGTCTCTGATAATTAACGTATAACTTGAACAGTCGGTACCGAACTCTAGTCGTAACGTTTGATAACCCAGACCAATATCAACATGAAATAGTTCTGTAACAGGCTGTATATCTAAACATTTCAACCAGGATGCTGGTGGCTCACTGAAATTAACAGTACATAAACAAAAATGTTAAAACTTTAATGAATTCTGAGCTGTGGTAATCTTATTGGTCAAGAATGTGATCAAAATATTCAAATATTGTGGTCAATATATTTAACTAATGACCATATATTTAACTAATGCTGTCAATACATTTAACTAATGTGTTCAAAATTGATTTTCCATTCCTGTAATTCTAGAAATGAAATCTAGCAATAAACTTACTTTTTATTTTCTGTAACAATCTTCAAGACATAGAATTTATCAGTTGAGAGAATAATGAAGGCATGGTACTCTTCTGTTACTAGGTATTGACATACATCTGTCTAAAAATACATATAAGATTATTAGCCTTTTAAAAACACTAGCCTGTGATATAAAAAACGAGCGTCTGCTCTTAAGTGGCGTCACATTACACATGTCTGGTAAACTAATAAAGAAAAAAAGAATTGGATAAGAGTTAGATAAAAAGTTTCAAGAATTAATGATTTACTTACTTCAATGATGCATTTAAATTCTTCTGTATTTTCAAACAATGACATCATTAAATGTAACTTTAACCTATGATCAATATCTGTAAAGTCATCTTCAGGAACATTTTTATTTGCAGCAGCATCTGTTGTGTCCTTGGATTCCACTGAAATCACTGCAATATCACTATTTCCTGATTCTGGTAAAGTAACAACACTAGGATCTGTGGATGATTCTATGGGAATGATATCATCCTCGGAGGATGACATTGTTTTTTCGTTACATGTATCATAAATACTGTTCACGATGTTTGTCTCAGATTCATCGCAAAGCACACTAATGTCTGAGGTATCGTTTTTTTCCAATAATTCATTTTGTTCCATAGGATTGCTTATAGCAGAAGATAAATAGATACTCGACACCATATCATTGCACACGTTATTAGATAATGGGGAACCAACTGGAGTTGTTTTCCCCGTCAAGCTCTTCTGATCAGAAGACTCATTAGTGAAAGTTAAGTCTGGATTACCCGTTTGAGAAGTCTCCCGTGAAAAGTTTTTGTCCAGACTTTGTAAAGAAGAATGTGAACTTTGGCTTCGTGTTAAACTTGATGATTTCAAAATAGTGATGTCACTTTCCGATGGCAGACGGTTCCTTTCTCTTTTAGTCTCTTTTTCAGACCCAACAATCAAAGATTGTGATCGCTGAGATTCAGTCTCTGTTTCGAGAGACCATTTGTCTTCTATTGAGATAAAGGCATTGCTTCGACGTCTGCCTTCTTTAGAAAGGTCAAGGTCATCTCCTTTCCCAGAGGTCACTAGTGTCACAGACTTTTTGACAGCACTTTTTTCTGTTGTCAGATTTGACAGAATGTTCCTTCGAGCTTGGGAATCAATTAATACGTTTTTATCGGTCTCATTTTTAACTGGCGTTGATTTGGCTAAAGGACTTGTGTTGGCTTTCCTGAAATGAAAATGAAAAATACTCCTACTACTACTAGTTTTAGTTCTGTTACAATTGAGTACCGGTATAAATTATATCATTATTATTATTAAGTTTTTAGATTAGATTAAAGAGCCAGTACTTCACAGCAATGCTTATTCAAGTTAAGTCATATTTTATATTTAGACTGGACTACAAAGACTACAGACCTGGACAGTGAGGGACTATATAACTTGTCTTTAAAACTACTAGAGGCAGTGTATGAGCCATATGGAGTTGACGAAGCTGAACCACTGCCAGTATCTGATGTATTCCTACCCTCTACCTCTATCACTAGCTCACTACTACACTTTGGACATTTAAATGTTGATTTCCCTAAAAATATAAATAACATTAATTTGATTAGAATTAAATCATCTAAATAACCAAGCGAAACCTGAGGAGCAAATTCTGGCATTGATATATTTTCCCTATCAACATACTTTCTCAGTTCTTGGGATTATGAAACAAGTTCGAAAAAAATTACAAAATGTTTCAGAAAACATCTGTTTGTTATATTACCTGAATGATATAGATTATTCAAGTCTTTACTGCTCCCTCTTGATGGTAACTTACTATTTTCTACAACTTTACCATCTTTAGCTAAAAACTGATTGGAACATTTCAAACACTGAAAAATACAATATAGGTCTTCAATACACACTCTGTTAACAGACTCATTTCAGTTTATTCTTTTAACCCGTTAAACGCTGAGTGTAAATGAAATAAAACATCACATACTCTGAACTCTGAATAACTTAAATTGTATGACATTAACATTATATGACATGACTTGACTTGGTAACAGACGCTTTACAGGCCACTCAGGTTTACATTGCTTAACTATGTGCTAGGGTTGAAAGGCTGTGGGTCACAATTACTTGCTGGTATATATTTTCTTAAAATGATCATACAAGAAAAGTTTGATTCAAACTTTAAGACAATGATATTTTTACTAATTAATTGGTACAGTTATTCTTAGATTATGTAGTAACAATGTCTAGGATTGTTTAAAAGTAAAACTATTACCTGATATAGAGTATTGTCTACTGATTTTAATTCCTGAGCCACTAAAAATGGTAATATGAGGCCTATTAACCTCTGAAAAATAGAAATATTTGAAAATAGCTTGATAACTTATTAATGAATGAAACAGAACTTAAATTAATACAATTAGAGAGTATCATCTTTTAACCTTTGATAGCATGGGAATGCTAAAAACTTTAGAAGTGATGACAATCTAATCTTTCACAGCACATTTATTGTTTGAAGTGTCAGATAAATTTCAGCTGAATGCAAGGGTTCTATCTTCCAACAAAGTAAATATTCAGAGGACTATATCTTTTTCTAGACCAGGACAAACAAACAAAAAAAGGGCAAACAAGCAAGTCAACCAAAAAAACAAGTTGAAAGAGCCAACAAACAAGAGGACAAACAGGCAAGAGAACAAGAAATAAAGCATTCAAAAAGTACCTGAACACTATCTTGATCCTCCATAACGTAACTCTTCAATCTCCTGTCCTTTTTAATATAATCAAAATATAACAACATGACAGGCAGACTCACACCATCTTGAATCTTTTCACTTTGATCATAATTCTTCAAACATTTCAAATCAAATTTATCAATAATACAACCATTTAAATCTTTCTCCATCAAATAGCGTTCATTAAACGTCAAAATCAATTCTTTATGTTGACTGTCTTTCTCATGACTGACGATAAATGGTTCAGATTCCTCTCCTGAAAGTAGAATAAAAGAATTAATAACTTAGTGCTATAGGTACCAAGCCATTTTGGTGTCACTTTCAAAAGTAGGTCTATGATTCAGTCATATAAAAGTTCCTTTGTCATATCATTGGCCACTGAAACTAATAAAATGCTAAAAATTAAGATGTAAAACTCTATTTCTTTCTGACATGAATTCTTAAAAGCCTAATATTAACACCACAATAGTTGTCAACAAAACTTTAACCTTGTAACTTTCAATCACCCTAATGTCATAGCTTCAGTTCATTAAGCTGCAGAAATGCAGGGTGTAAAACTTCATTTTCTCCATGCTGACATATATAAATATAAAGATACGCACCATAAAAGGCTTCCTCCTCTTCATCAGTTCTATTAAATTCTTCCCCACCATTCATACTGTACATTCTCGATACACTGACATGTACCTCCTTCTTTTCCTTAGTAACATAGATACCGTCTGGTGATTCATCTTTAACAAACTCTTTCTTCTGCACTTCTGTTTCCATAGTAACAACCACAGCAGACGTATCTGTATTTACCTCGTTCTGAACACCAAGTTCAGTATGCACCTTCACATCGGTTTTGATAATACTGTTTTGATCTACTTCGACTTTCGTCTTCTGATAATTTCCTGAAGTTTCTAAAAGGTACAGATCATCATCTGTAGGACCACGTGTTACTATATTTGGAGTTTTTTCTATGTCTGCTTTAGTGTGAATCGGTTCTGAGTCACTCGTTCCACTGGTAGCTGGATCATTCTGTCTAATCCTGTCTTGTTCCTCATCCATTACTTTCAACCAGTCTGGTCCATAATGACTTCGATATAATTCAATTTCTTTCCGAGTTTTCATGGCTTCACGCAGAAAATCTGGCCGAGGAGAGGAAGCTAAAATGATAGAAATAACGATAGTTGGAGAAAAATAAATATTTATTATTAATAGGCATAAGAGAAGATGAAACAATAATTTGTTGTGGGTGGTTGTCGCAAAAATACAGGCAAAACACTGGCTTTGCCATTCCTTTCCATTAACAATGATCCAAGATGGCTATTACACTCATTTTTTCTCTACTCCAACGATTAGGGACTACCATTTTTATATTTTTTTCAATGTTGTCGACTTGTGAACATTTTGGAAAGGTATATACAAGTTTCTTCCGTGTAATGATGAAATCCAGCATGGTACTTACCAGCTGACACGTCTGGTGAGTCAAATTCTGTCGTAGACGAATCCAGATCAGACATATCAGAAGAAACTCTGTTTTTATTTCTCTTTTTCTTCTTCCGTTTGCCAGCTACTGGTAAAGATGTAGCTATATTATCAGAATCACTGAATTTATACTCTTTGGATATCAGGTTCTCTCTAGTGGTCTGGCGCCGTGGTTCTGAGATAACAGTATGAACTATTGTTGATGGGCGTCGTGATGTTGCCAAGTTTACCCCTTTGTTGCACTGAAATTTGAAACATTTTGAAAAGTTGATTCATAAGTTTGTCAATGATTTAGCTTAAGCTTCTAGTAGTTGTGAGAATCCAACTCAATTGATATTAAACTGCCAAATTGTCCAGTGCATGAGAGTGGATATATTTAAAGAGACATGCAAACTCTATTGCACTGGAAAGTTGTTTCAAATATTTTTATTAAGATATACTTACCAAAATTTCTTTTGGTGTCAGTTTTTTATTATCTAATTCAAACTGCAAGTAACAAATTTAAAAAAAAAAATAGAATGAAACATAGAATCAGTTTTAAATCCAAATCAATGCAGCAGCTCAGTCCTTTATTCCATCAAGGAACATTGAGTTAGTGCTGCTCCAGTGGGGCTCATATGGACCCTCCAAAATGGCTCTTTTACCATTGACATTAACCATTGATTTGTGATAAAGGAAAAGGACTTATGTATTGGTTTGATTTATATTATATGATAGAATCAAAAAGACCCATAATTGTACAAATGAGCTCTTCCAATCAAACAAATACACTTCATATTTGTACAAAAAAAGAATGTGTGTCACAGTTCAAAAGAATTTCAAACGTTGTCCAGCTTTACTGACAACAATACCATGATATGGAATCCAATACTTACTATAGTAGAAACAGTTAAAGCAGAAAGATATTTTACTGTCAGTTTTCTATGGTGTTTATGATAATATATTGGATTTCCCACTAATCTCAACTGAAAAAAATACAAAATCTCTTAGATTGAGAACTTCCAAATTTAAAATTCAAAATCCATGTTTTTAGCTTAGTAATTTCAAAAACCTTAACAAAGTTTCAACTTATTAGCATATAATAAATAGCTCAAATGTAGTCGATTCTCATTTCTGTTTCAAAATATCAAACAAGCTGTATACACATGTATGAAATAATTGAACAACAAAATCACAGTTCTAGTAATAAACCTTTGTAATCCAGCTGTTTTCATTTTTAACAGGTGATGAATGAGATGTTGAGTTGTCTAACCTGATTCAAAGTAACAAGGGACACAAGAGGTTGTAAAGTTTGATGATCAGCTAGACAGTTATCACAAATATCTAATTCTTCCAGTAGAGTTAATTCTTCAACACCTAGTAATACAAACAGAACAAAATTAGTAGATATTACTTCATCAAGGTGTTTAAAAACCAAGTATCACACAATTGACAAATATATCTGAGGACCTCATTTTGCAAAAAAAAATAATAAAACAACAGATAAGTCCATTGAGAAATTGTTAGCATATTACTTTATTAAAAGACCAAATCAGGCCCAATTGACACTTCCAGTTTTGAGAAATCGTAGTATGACTTCTACTTACCTTGAATATTATCTAAACTATTATTTTTAATAACTAATGTTCTCAATCTATTTTTAACAGACAGAGAAAAACTTGGTATCAAATCTAACATATTATAACCTAGGTTTATTCTCTGTAGCTCTGTTAAATACTGAAAAATTAACAAAATGTCACATAAACATTAAAGGGACAGATGCACCATTTTGTGGGTTGATTTGATTCTTGAATATATGGAAATAGTCCAAATACCTTCAAAAATATCTCAAACTAGGAATTCTTTTCCTATTACTATCGATGTCTTTTCTATATTTAAGATCTGATTCCAGTGTCATATGCTCACAATTGTAATGGCAGCCAATAAGTTTTTAAATTAATAAAATTAATTTCTATAACATACCTCTAAATAATGCTCTGTTTTTTCTAAACTATTATGACTAATATCTACTATCTTTAAAACTGGTAGTAATCTCTAGAATGGTAAAAATGTGGTCATTGGTCATTTTATCAGAACTGATAGGGACAGCATCAATAATTTCATACATGACCCATAATGTACACTGTTTATGTTTGACTCAAGGAGAATTGACAAAAAATCCTCCTTATTCTATATACTATATATATATATATATATATAATATATAATTGTACTGAATAGTGAGCATATCTACTTACAAGAGAAGAATCTAAACAAGTTAATGTATTATAACTAAGATTGACAGTATCTAACTGTGGCCAGGACATTGGTGAAGTCATATCACTACCACATGTTTCAAACACATCCTACAAGAAAGAAACACAACACTAAAAAACAAATTTAATAACAGTGGAATTTCAGAGAGTAGTCTGAATTTTGATATATGTTTTCAAAGGAAATTTTCTAATTTCCAGGAGAAATGCTGGTATTTTCATGGTATCATTAATTCAAAGATGTATGCTATTTTTTCATGCAGATATTTATATCATTTGACCAAGTCAAAAAGAAATGCGTGTATTACCTGTCTACCATACAGCCGAAGGAACACTCACAGATACAGCTTATATTGTTAAGACAAAAAAATCATATTACCTGTAAAGCTAGTAAACTCCTAGAGATTATAAGAGTCTGTAACTGTCCACGTAACTGATTCAAACCTTCAATCATATGTACAGGAACTTTCTTAATCTCCAGCACCTGTAGGTTACGGAATCGGTGAACTTGGATTGCTCCTTGCATTGTATTAGTACCATGTATTATCTGAATCACAAATTAAACAATTTTAGATATTGATTATATTAAATTGCCACAAGGTAGGTTTCTAGCTTTCCTGATGAGGAAGAGTTACTTCTACTGTCTTAAAAAAAATCTGGTAGAAATTTAAATAATTTCAATTAATGATACAATGATTTATTCAGGCCATGTTTTAAGCACCTCCTTTTTTTATGTAAGTGGGTTCCTAGTCTTTCTTATTCTACTAGTATTCGCAATATCCTGAATTCAATTCCGTGGCTCCAGTAATTGCTGAAATACTAGACAAAATTATGCTGTCCTTGGTAAATAATATCCGATGATCACAACATAAATTGCTGAAATATAGTGTAAGAGATATTAAGAATGATGGGTGACTTCACCTTAGAATATTTAAAACAACCAACCTTTAATGAGGGACATCTAGAAATAAAATCTCTCAGATAGTTGACGTCTTCCTTCCATTTTAAACTATTCTGTGGCGAGAGCCAGGAGACTGTGGACATTCCTCCGTCTGTATATTCTACATCACTTAATCTACGAAATGATGTTGAGATCATACTTAAACTTTGAGTTGTCAGAGCAAATTTACATTCCCCAGATACAATCTTGCTCTCTGCAAAAAGAGAAAAAGAACAAGTTTTTTTAAATATCATATTATAAGCTTTACTTATAGACCATTTAAATCATTATTTTGTTTTTCACTCATCATTCCACAATTTTAGTTACTTTTCTGTGAAACAATCGCCTGTATGAATTGCAAGCCAGGGAACTTGGTTAACTCAATTAGTGCAAGTAAAATGATTATCATAAAACCATTTACATATAAAAGCTTGGTTACTGAGTGGAGTTTATTTATAGGAAGATGGGAAGCCTACCTAATCTAATATTTTACTTGAACAGTAAGCTTATTGAACAAGTAGCCTATGGTAGTGAATTTAGTTGGTTTTTTTTTTGTCTTTAAACTAAAGACAGACTTACCATTCTGTCTCAGAAGAGAACATAGTTTCACCAAAACTTGGTAGTCTTGATCTTCCCTTCTTCCAGGCATTTTAACTTGAGTGTAACACTTGTTGCCTATCTAATGATTAATATTGTATGTAATTATCTGAGGCTGGTCATTTCTACACTGATCACCAAGCTAAATAATAAATTAAGAATAGATTTAAATAGTTATTAATGCAATTAGAAGTCAAATGTTCAAATGTTTGGTCATCTTAAAGATTTAATGTTTTGTCAATGTAAGACCTAATTGTGCAGTCTTCAAATCCATATTGTTGTAATATTAAAAGAATAATCATAATGATTCAAAAACAGACCTTGAATGAATAAAATCCCCTAGGTGATTGGAATGGGAACCGAATTTCGTGGATAGGCCAGTACAACTTCATATTCATAAACATATCTGCTGCTTACTGAATGAATGTCGCCGAGATAAAAAAAAAGAAGTAAAAAGCATAATATTTCCTATGTGTTTTGGTAATGTCTTTGAAAGCAGAGTTCACATACCGGTAACCTTATTTATAATTATCTACGATAAACTGATAAATTTGTAGTTTTCTTCGTTATCTTTTTTCCAGTATTTTCACAACAAACTTTCACTTCATCATGTGACATTATACAGGAAGTGACGTTTAACCTTTAGTTGAGAACATCCAGACTAAAATATTTTTGCAGATTGCTGATTGGCGACCTACCATTAGCTTTGTGAAACTGAGATGCACAGCTTCTCGAGAAAATTTATCTCTGTGAGAGTCAAACATTCAAAATTAGAGAAAAAGGGAAATGACTGTAACTAAAAAGAGCTCTTTTATTTTAGGAACCAACAACAGTCTTGTTTTATTCTCGATTACCAAGTCATTTATTACATCACAAAGGTCATCAAGGTCGTTTATGGTCATGGTCACGTAGGCCATTGGATTGCCAAACTCTTGAATCCGGCTTCTCGACTTTCTTTATTTTCGTTTTAAAGTAAAAAAAAAAACTTGAGTTGTGGAAGGCTACAGAGTGGTAAGATTAGTATTTCAGATTTCGGATAAAAGCGTTATTATATTGATAATATTAGATCTAGGCTATCCGTATCAATCATGATTATATTTTACATGTTGATCAAGAATGATAATTATGGCAAAAATGGCCAGTCATTCACAATGGCAATGTTATTTTCAATGACCATATGACATTTTCGATGAAAAAGTGATGGTGAATTGATCCGTATGATAATAGAATGAATGAATATTGCCAGTTTTCAGTCATTTCAACTGCCAACAAATTTCATCAAGGTCATTGGATTGTGATTTATTGGGTGTATCACTCAGTCCAGTCCTTTTCTATGACAGGAAAGGAAGATCCTACAGCTATCCTTGAAGATCAGGAAGATCCTACAGCAATAAACTTCAAGCCGAAGGGGCTTAAACCATAGAGTTATCATTATACGTGATTAGACTAGCCTATACCAACCACCTTGGCATTGGCATATCTTTACATCTCTGATTAAATCTATAATGAATTGTCCACTAAGAAAAAATATATATCCTCATAAGGTTTCTAGTTGTTCATGATTTTAGTATTGAGCTTACACAGTTTTCTCACTTTTCAGATAAACTCTTATAAGAATCAAGATGCCTTCAGAACTAGCAGAAGAGAGAAAAAGAATTGTCATGGGTCCAGCCAATCCATCCAGAAATAAGTGGGACTTAGGAGGGTTTCAGGCCGGTGGATTCCTGGCAAAAGGAATGGTAATAGGTAAGTAACAGTGAAAGAAAAACAATGAAGGAGGTTAGACTGAAGCAATCCATTAGTTTTTTATCAATTTTCATACCAGTAAAAATCCAAATAGACCTGAAAATATTAAATTCAGGCATGACCAGGTAATTTATATCAAACCCTCTCTTACATGAAAACTAACTAGGGCTGTAAATTCTGAATTTAGATTGACATAAATTTTAATCAATAAGTTCCAAGAGTTATAGGTTTATTGCTTATTGAAATTGAAAGCTACAGTCTTAATCAACTAAGGGCTATCTATAATCTTCATTGACTCATGTTTAGGATAGAAAATCTCCACCAGGATACGGAGGACTGTTATTTTTGGAAATTATTCAGGAACAAGACGAATTAGCAAAGTAAGCACTCACTGAACAGAGGGGCCAGAAGTAAAATATTAGAATACTCTACAGTACAAATACTCTAAACCAATGATTGATTATTTTCAGGTACCATTAGTTTAGTAGCGTGTGTAGCACATGGTGTGTATAATTATAACAAACGTGGAAATGTTGGAGCTTCCCCTTATATCTTAAATTATCGAGTGTTTGCACAGGGAGCTCTGTTGTTAACAGTAGCTGGATCTATTGGATTAGAACTCGTTGCCAGTGAATGGAGACGCAGGAAAGCTGCACAAGAAGACAAGAAATAAACTTTAATATTTAATATAAATTCTAACTTTAAATTTAGTGGGGCAGATTTAAAGTTAAACAAGCAGTAGCCTTGGAAATTTTTTTTTTAAAGTTGATTTCTATGTAGACAAAGACGTCCATGCTTTGCGAATTGTTTACTTGTCACCTTGTTTACATGTTTATATTTATTATGATATTTGAATGTTACATAACTTGTGATATATGTTTACAGAATTGATAGCATTAGTATATCTCATTTTAAAATAACAGACAAAATACCATATTAATTGTATCAATAAACAGTAAAACCATCTCTTAGAAATATAACAATATAAATAAACCGATATATCCTAGTCCTACATAATTCTTTCTAACTAGGATTATGTCCCTTTAAATAATAATAATGTTGTTAATTATGCGTTTCATTGTGAGAGTATGAGAGCTCTGTCTTCATTTTATCATAATTTCCAGCTTATCATTAGCCATAAATTAGTGCTGCTGTCCATTTTGAAATTTTTTCAGCTGTACACTGGAAGTTAGTAGGTTATAAAGCTCTATTTCTACTCCAACTTCTTGTGGCATATCGTTGGATACTTCTGTCTGCAGCACAAATAAATTTAGGATTCTGGACATGTATTCTCAATACGATCTTAGCACTAGGATGTGCTAGAATCAATGTTAGAAGATAAAAACCTAGGATATCCTAGCACTAAGATCGTTTTGAGAATACAGAAAATTAGGACGTAAGACTCCATTCATTTCATTTCATTTCAATATTTCTGTTTTTCATTTATCACCCTGTAGATAGTTTTGATTAAGATTATTTGATGGTACTAACAATAAAACACAGGGGCCAGAATCAGATATCCTTAACATAATTTATCAATTACAATTTATATTTAATAGTTGCAATATATATATCATATACATTATGATTATTATTATTAAAGATAGTCTTTTAGAAAGAGAAGCTTATGCTTTTGACAAGCTATATATATAAACATCTATACATTGCTTGTATCTCTATCAGTTGGTAATGCATATATTTATACAAATAGACATATAACTGAGTGAAAGTGAACTACACATATAGTCAAAATTGAGCTCTATCATCTGGTAAAAAAAAAATTATCATAAGTATGCAAGCTGAAATTGAGCTTTATGTGCTGGTAAAGCAACCCCGTTGACATAATTTTTGTTTTCTTTTTGAATGTGGTACATTTCAAGATTGGGACCACTGTAGAAATAAGCTTTAAAGGGGATAGTTTGTATATTCATTTTTATACCCAAATGTAGGTCTACCTCAAGACAAAAATGAATAAATATATATGCATCATGGTCATTTAAACCACATTCAATCCACCTTTAAAAATAAGTACCTTACATTTTCTGGTGTATTTGGGAAATGATGCTATTATGCATATAACAAGAGTAAGATTGCTGTGGATTGTGAATCTATATATTGTTTGTTTGTGTTGTTTGTATTGAATTATTATATTATATATATACACGCTATTTTAAAGTATGATCAGTAAAGCAGAGGAAAATTAAAAGAATTTAATTTTAAATGACAATCTTTTTTATTTGTCTTGCTGATTATAAAACAGCTCACTTGTCTGCAATAGTGCATTGTATGCAATTTTACCATTGACATTACTATTTGAAATTATAGTGTCCATGACCCACGTAGTACCTCCATGCCCTTAGCTTGCCCAGAGAGAGAGAGAGAGAGAGGGCGAACATTTTGAAGGGGGCTAAACAGCAGCGACTCAAGTCATTCAAGTCCTCTATATTGTCCTGAAAATGGCCCTATACACAATTATACAGAAGTAAACCTCCACTTATTTTTATTGGGAATATGTATATATAATAATAAGCAGTTGACGGAGACATCTGGAAAATACCGAAGTAATTTCTCAATAGTGAAATGGTTACAATCCAAAGTATATGTATTGATAGTTATTAAAAGATCTTGTCAATAGCCTTTTCATTACGATAACAATACATGCCCCTTTATACCCATTGAATAGGGACAACTCTCATAGAAACGACGGCGACCATAACATTTAATATTAGTCCAAACTTTTATTTTGACAAGTCTCAATTCTTGAAGGTGAGCATGTTTGTTATATTAGTTCTAGTTTTAAATTATAATGTCCACATTTTAATACGAATTGATCATAGCCATTACGTTCAGTCGTAATCTATATTCTAAATACATGTAAAAATTTGACTGTCCAGAAGACGGGGTATCACCAGTTCCATATAAATACATATCATTAATCTCGTATGTATTATCCACAGAATGAAAATAGAAGTGGACATTAGTGCGACGATATGATTTCGCCTTGTACTGGGGCAAATGTATAAGCAAAAGCCCTAGGAAAACCAAAGGAACAGGGGTATATTACAAGCAGTTCTGGGCAGAGCATAGTAACAACATATCCTTTCAATCCGTCCCAGATTTGTCTTGTTTTGAGGTGCCCTCGGATGTAAAATAAATACAGAACATTCACAGAGATATAGTAGAACTATGAGCATTAATTCCTTCAAAGAAAATAATTTGAATTTTCAACCTTGACTTCCAGGAAGCTTCACAAACAATGGCAATCGTCATACCAGACGGCAAACATCCAGGTGACATCTTCATCATTCAGAATGAGAATTATCTGATGAACAATATAGAGGCAAGACATTATACATCCTATTTATTTGTGAACGGTGTGTTTAGCGAAGATGAGATGGATTCAGTGGACGACACCGTGGAATTCCAGGAGAGGAATAGACTCTTGTTGAAACTTCTGACAGAGAAAGGGAGGGATGGATTCAAAGTTTTTAAAAAAGCTCTTCACAAGAGAGGATACCTGAATACCGAATCGATTGAACATAAAATGAAAGTAAGAAAGGTAAGTAGAGTGTTGACTTATTTAACAGATGACATCCTTCTCCCACCACATATATAGTTTAGTCATCAATCTAACCACCCAGAGAACTCCAAGACTCGAACTAGAGCAAGTAATATTTCTGAAACTAATCTAAATGAGTTCATTTGATATTCACTATACTTTATAGTTACGTAGGATGTCGCTTAAGTCACGTCATGCTCACTCTTCCGGAATTTCGGACGATCATGTTTTTCAACTCGAAAAAGTCCACATAGCTAATACTGTTTATTTTATATATTCATTTTTTATACATTTTTTCCCCTGTACAGTCACGGTACATAAGTTTTTCCATAAACTGATTACAATCATTGAACTCGCCAGCGATCTTACAAACATAACATAAATAAATAATAATGAAAAAAAAACATGTTGTAGAAATATTTAAAAAGAAATTTCCACACAAGTAAAACCATCCACGTGGTCTTGTCTAAAATTTAGTTACTTGTTTCTTTTTGTCTCTGGTAGGAGTCCGCCATGGGTCCAAAACACATCATCATTGACAGAGCATGGCGAGAATTCATCGACCCTAAAGATGAGACCATAATTCTTCAGAATCGGGCAATTCTGGTCAGAAAAATGGAGGCTAGTCGACTGACGAGCTACCTAGCTACCAAACAGGTTATTGATGGTTATGATATGACCACGATTGACACTCTTCCTAAAACATTGGCGAACAAGGAACTCCTTCGAATAGTTAGTGGACGTGGCAGTACAGCTTTTATGTGGTTTGTGGAAGCCTTAAGAGTGAAAGGATTTGGTCGTCTGAGTACCTTACTCTTCGGAAGACCCATCACTTCTAGCGTGAGTATGAATCCAATATGTCTGTTACATTTGTCATCCTTCTGTTTGTCAGAGGAAGCATGGACATTGTATAGGATGTAGTATTATGGCTTTCACATTCATTGTATTTTAATGTTTTGTTTTTTCTGTTTAGCATTAGTTCTAAGTCGAATTAAACACTGGAGCTCTGACGACCACCATTTAAGCGTCTATAAGAACGCATTTTACTATCTCGGAAACTAACAACTAAGGCAAATACTATACACTGATGAAAATGTATAGGTCTTTCGTTTATTTCAGACTGATTTTCAAGCTGATTCTAGCGATAGTGATGATAGCCTTTCAAGTTCGTCATCATCATCTCCTTCTTCAGCAGATAAAAATGACGATAAAGAAGTCGAAGATACACAACCACAAAATAAGGACGACGACGACCAACCCCAAAAGACTCACGACGGTCAATCTCAGGCGGTTGGTGATTTTCAATCCAATAAAAGCAATGGGGATGTACAATTACACACGATTGCAGAAGAAACAGAACAACCGGACAACGGGGAAACACAATGTAACTCAAATTCGTTCATAGACGAGGTACAATCTCCGATGGACCAGGATGAAAATCAGCCTGATAACAGCAATCCACATACACTTGAGAAAGAAGGAGACCAAGACACGGCACATCAACATAAAAAACAAGAAAGCGATATACGAGAAAAATCTCTTCAAAACGGAGTTGCCAATGATGCAAACGAATCCTCAAATCAAAGCAAATTAATCGTCAAGATAAAACCACAGAGTCGAAATTCTCAAAGGTCTGGCAAATCGAATAAGAAGAAGCGATCGCGAACACCAAGATCTCCTTTCAAAAAAATTATCACTAGAAACATCATTCGGGAACCGATTGACTATGTCCTTGCCGAGAAATTGAGATGTCATTTTAGAGAGCTGGAAAGATCCTTGGACGCCGAATCCGTGGCATATAAATTGGTAGAAATTGGGATAATAGACCAACTGGACGTGGACACCATCTTAGCATTACGGGAACCTCATCAGAAGGTTCGGGAACTCATCAGTCTGATATTATGGGGTGGTCCTGATGGTTTTAGGTTATTTCTCGATGCTTTACTTGAAACCAGTCAGACTCTGCTTCATCGTGTCTTAACCACACAGAAAAAGAACAGTATCAAAACGGTAGGTATACATATAGATCCAAACAAAAGTATCCACCGATCAATTAAGATCATGGCAGTGCCGATCAAAGCTCCATAAGGTTGTATCTTAGCTCTATTTGGCTGTGCACATGGCGGTACCCATCTTAGCTCTACATGGCGGCACCCACCTTAGTTCTACATGGCAGTGCCCATCTTAGCTCTTCATGGAGATGCCCATCTTAGCCCTACATGTTGGTGCTCATCTTAGCTCTACATGTTGGTGCTCATCTTAGCTCTACATTGTGGTGCTCATCTTAGCTCTATAATTTGGTGTCCATGATTGCCTAGTTATATGCATGGTTCCTTTTTTTATTAAAACTATATGTACAACTACACTTTCCAATTCTTTTTACTGTATATTTATATTCCAGAATGACTCTGTCATACCTAGTATTATTATAGATGAAGTTGGAAAGTCACGTAATGTCGAGGATGACGGTGATAGCCAGCCTCTACCCACCACAAAACCAACTGGTACAACTAAGCAGCATAAATTTAGATGGGCAACCAGTTAATCTGGACAATGAATTCAAAAATCAGGGCTGTTGGTTAGTCGATATCTGACCTGACACCAACACGATATTTCTGTACTCTGTGTATACTCTCCAATATGTCTTACGATCACTAAAGGATGAAATTAATTAAGGACGCAAGATTACTCCTCGTATATCATTGGAATATCGTGTTGGTGTATGAAGGGTGAGATGTCTGTTATCAAGAATTAAGGAAAAATTGAGCTTATTGGCGAAATACATCCATTTCCAGTAGACTTGGGCAGACAGAAATAGTCACCGACACCCAAAGTTCGAGGCCCTCTTTCATCGCAACTGTATGCACAAGTAGCATGTAGGACATAAGATTAGGCAAGGCGGCTAAACTGACTAAGGTTAAAGCTAAGTACAATACTTAGTAACCTTTATCATTAGGCATCACGTTGTGGCCTTTAGCATGATATTCAAATATACGAGTTTTGTCCCTTTGGTGAGAAAAGCAACCACACATCCATGAGTAGCCTAAATGAAAATTTACAGTAACGATTGACTCGGGTCTTAAAATAAATCTGTCATGTTTTTTTTAAACATTGTTTGTTCGTTCGTTAGTTTCTTCGTTTCTAGTGTAGTCTGGAAATGAAGTCTACCAAACATTTAAATTGTCTGATGACTAAAATTGATTTTTCCGTATTACTTTTCAAAAAGAAAATTTGAAGCTCTGTCCTTGCTGTGGCAAATTACGAATATGTACAATTTCTAAATCCTCCAGACTGAAAGAAAGTACCAGAATTTCACTCAGTAAAACGTATTACAGGAATTTTAAAAAAGGAAACAATCGTTTGCTTCAGGTCGACTTGGAAATAGGGATTAGGGTGATTGAAAAGTAATAAGTTACTATCCAATATAAGGCACAGGCACAGGGTTAAAGTTATGTTTACAATAACTAATGCTAATATGCAATGATCTAAATCAAAGAAGATCATAAAAATAGGGCCTAATAGATACGCTTCATATCCAATAATCGACTCAGCACTCTTTGAAATATTACATTATTGAGATTTCCAAAAATTGGGAAAACAAGTCAATGTTTCTAGAAAACCTTGGGGCTTGCTAGATCATCTAAAGCTTTCAGGCCATGATCGCACCAGGACAATGTCAAGCGCAGGGTCTTTATGATAGAGGCAGTCAAAGATTGGAAATTTTAAAGGCTTCATATTCAACAATAACTAATATTTCATTCCACTTTTCCCTTTGGTGATCTTGGTAGTTTAATTTGGAGAGAAACCTTCAAAAATCTTTCTGATTCGATTAGGCAAACAGATTCCCGCGTCTGAGTGCAGCAAACGACATTAAACCTTAACGACACGCGCGTTTTCTCTTTCAAATAACGAAGCAATATAAATTCGATTAAGTAGAAACACGACTAGCCCGTAGCATAAAATTCGAACCTAATAGTAAAGAAATCCTGTAAATTGATTGAATGGGTTTTTGATTAACATTTTCATGTTTACAATTCGTCAAATTACCGAGTTTTATTGAATTAAAGGGCAATTCCCACTTGTGTTGACAAAACGATTATCAGGCTTCTGTTGTAGACGACCTCTTCAGCTACTTGAAGCCATTTTGTTTTCTTTCAGTTGACCCTCTCTGTGCCATGTTGAGTGAATTAAAGAGACGATTTCAATCAATTTGCTTTAAGCTCATCTCCTGTTCAAATCAATCTAATAGAATTTGTTCATCATTGACATTACTGATTTTTCTTAATCGACTTTGAACGGTTTAGAATATAGAAAGGGTGCGAACGGGGTTTGAGGCAATCTTAAAGGGTTTCTACCAGAGTTGCGTTCTAATGATCAATCAAAGCGCATAATTTGGGACCCGTTTTTTGCTAACAATGACGAACTGCATAGCCTAACGTTGAGTACTATGGCTCACTCTGACTGGTTATATAATTAACGCGAATCTTGAACGCAACTGCAGTAGATAATTGATAGATAACAATGGAAATAAAAATATTTTTAAAATTGAAAAGAAATTGTAATTTTATCTTAATTCGATTGGGGTTGGGCTGTTATAATCAAGTTGGAACGTAAAAGGTCCCTAAAAGTCTAGAAATCCAGAAACATTTAGGCTACAAACTGTGCACGTTACAGTTTGAAATAGGCCCATAACGGATAAGAGGGTGAGGGCAACAGTTCTGGTCCCGTGAGCGCTTTAAAGTCTTCTATAAAGTTGGCAATCTAGATTGACCCAACTCTTGGAAGAAACACTCTCAGAGAAAGGATTGCTTCATTAATATCATAATTCACACCATCATTGATTGCGTGTGGTTGCGGATCAGTTTAGAACTTAACTGTAATGCAATTGAGTTGTAAGTTGCGTTAGAAAAATGTGCTCATGTTCTTACAAATATTCTTATCTGCATGGTAAAGAAAATAATGTTTTAAAAGTCAAAATAAGAAACGCATTTTAAACCTATTTTATGTATTCTGAAGCTCCTTTTATCGTCAATCAATTATATTTCTTCTGTGGTTCCAGAAAATCCAGACACACTTTTGTTCAAGTGATTTTTTGCAATATTGGCATTATAGTGATCTAACGAACATTTTTTATAGTCCTTAATTGTTTAGTAGGCTATAAGACCAATGGAATGAAATACAATTTTGATATTTTATTCTTCTGTACTTTACACTAGTGGAATTAGTCCAGTTTTTCTATTTTATACAACAGGAGTCAACGATCTTGAACCAAGCACGACTTGTTTTTGAATAATTTAAGTCTTCACCCTGTTCCTGTCCAGCTGTCTGTGAGTCTGCAATGGGTTTTGCACGTTTTTGATTTGATTTTCGGTGCCAAACCAACCCGCTATCCAATACTGCGACTCTAATTCCTAAAGGCAAATGATGGAACGCCGGGATACCGACTCTCTCCCAATCATAGAATATGGTAATAGGCTTTTACAGCCAATCATGTCTACAAGATTTTCACACATTGGCCAACCTTCTTCCTGTCTCAGCTATTAACAGTCAATAATACCAGGAATCGATTTCATCTCGATCAACAAGTACTACACAACGCTATTTATTCCATACAATAGGAGTAAATGATCGAGACTATCCTGATATTCCAGTCAATAAATCTCCGCTTTAAGCAAGCAAAACATGTGTAATTTAGAATGTAACTAAATGGCTACAACTTTTGTATGAAACTTTGAAAACATTTCGTGTATTTTGACGACATTCTTGAACATGATTCCATTGTCAGCTAACTGTTCGTCACAGAAAACAGCAATTCGTCATTCTTACATTGGAAGGGAAACTATTTTGTTCATCATTAAGAATCAAATACAATAGGAACTTTGATTTTTTTTATAGAATTATTGTGAACTTTGATTAATCATATGACTGACTTAAAATTGGAATCAGATAGTGAATAATTTTGGAAAGTAATTGTATTGTTAGACGAAAAAAAAAGAGAATACAAAACTTTATTTAATGTGTCATTTTTGAAGAATATATTTCTAAAGAATTTATAAAAACAATTTTCATCCTTAAATTATGGAACCTAAAAAGAAAGCAGCATTTTCAATCCGAGACCTGTTGGGAATTAGAACACAGAAATCAGGACCAGAAACGAGGGATTTTCCACGTGATTTTCATTTTGGTGGACTGAATCATTGCTTCGGCGATACACGTGCATTTGGATCTTTTTTACCTAGATTGGGTCAGGAACAGTTACGTGGGGAAGGGTTTCCGGCATACCACCCCTGGGCAGCACCTCTTATTGACAGTTTAAACACTTCCGGACAAACCATTTTGAATTTTAATATTTTTTCGCAAAATAACGGCGCCGATTCTCTGAAGAACGGTAAGTATTTTTTTTTTTTCAAATTAATATTTGTCATTATTGACGAGCAAAAATCATCACAAAGTCACAACCTTTTATCTCCAGTATATTTGTCATATTTATATAAAGTAATTGTCAATTGTGATTATTTTTTATAAAGCTTTAAATAATTTTGTAACACTGATGATTTGAAACACGAAAGTTCTTTTGGTAAAGTACAACACAGGACCCAATTCTGTCCTTTTTATAGTCATATTTGGAGGCCGGTTTTATAGTAATGAAGACTTTACCTTTAAATTCTGCTTTAATACTTTATTTTTTTAAAGTTTTTTTACATTGAAACCTCTATCTAACACATGTTTATAAAAAAGGCTTTACATCTTTCAACATTTTGTGTCCCTATATATTGTAATACATTTAATAAAACTAAATTGATAAATTGTAATTTAGATTTTAAGCAATCTTTTCAGTAAAGAAATTGAAAACATTCATCTCAAATTGAGAAATTAAAAATCATTAAACTTCGAAACTGTAAATAAGGAACCCTTTTATATTAATAGTTTCACGATTTCTTTTATAAAAGATTTTAATTTGATTCATAATGTAATTCATTTCTGAATCATTTCATTAATTTTCCGCTTTTCGTATGTACATATTGAATTTTTATTTTTTTTTTCTAATTTATTTTGAATTCACTAAGTTTATCTGCAATTTTCAATTCCATTGTTAGAGTTTTATAAATGATGAGTGTCCTTTGATTTTTTTGATTTTATTTTTTCAATTTGTCTGAGATAATGAAGTTTGCCTTCTTCTACTTCATTATAGTTTGCTTTATCACAATTTTGCATGTCATGATTTAAATGAACACCATTTTGAAATTTAAAATCAAACTTCCTGCATATTTTGTTTCTTCACAGAATTTGATCTTCCAGAAGAAAATTGGTATTAGAAAACGAATCTTGTCAGACATGTAAAAATATACTCAACTACAAATACGAAAATAAAAACTAAAACAAGTGGTTGCAAATACGTCAGCTTTTGTGTTGCTATCAAAAGGTTGCTTGGTCGGAAATACAAAAATTTTGTAAATTTTAAATCAATTTTTTTTTTTGGTAAACGTAAAATATTTAATACTGATCTTAAGTATTAAACATGTATTCTTTTCTTGTAGAGGAATAATTTTCAAGTCACCAAATTTTGGGATAGTCAAGAACTGTATGGGGCAAGGCGAATATCATATTTCTAAACACTCAAATCATAATGTGAACGTATTGCCAGGGTATAGACATGATCCCTGTCGATTTGATCGTCCGGTCGTCCACGCTTTTTTGCAAACGCGAATAATTGAATTTTGACGACATTTTTGACAAGGGACAGACGCACCATTTTGTCGGTTGATTTAAGTCTTGAATATACGTAACTAGTCTATAGAAGTACTAGAAATGTACGAAATCACATAATTTCTTCAAAACATATCTCAAACTTTTCTTTTCCTATTTCTATAGATGTATTTTCTATATATTATGACAGTATCTCAAGAAAAAAAGACTCTTCTTTTTAAACATTCAAACGTGGATTATTCTGGACACACATGGTTTTGATGGCTCAAATTTCGATTGGCAATGGCATTCCTGTACCTTTTTAAATGTATCTTGGATATAGCTTTGGTATCAAATCTCCAAAGAGAGGTCCCATATAACGATTAAACTAAAACTATTATTGTCAACAAAAATAATATCCAGGACCGTCATTGATGCCATACCTTTTACATAATATTAAGATGTTCAAATGAATTGTTTTTTATCTGAGTCACCGATATTACAGATGAAGTTATTGTATAAGAAATACGTTTGAATTGAACTAATTACCTGTTTATAAATATAATTAATACAAATCATATCAATATTACCATTATAGTATTCATAGTTATATTCCATTACTGAAAGTGTGTCAATCCAATGTGTAAAAGTGTAGTCTATACAGAACATTCCTCATTCACTATCCATGCTATAATAAACCATACTTTGGTTAACTAAACAATACAACAATTCACTTAACCATACCATAATACAATAAACATAACCTTGATACACTAATCCATACTATAATACTCTGAATCATACCTTGATATATTGAACCATATCTTGAAACATTAATCCATCATACCATTGATACACTTAACCACCATACCATAATACACTGAACTATATCTTGATACATCAATGTAAGCCATACCATGATACACTAAACCATACCCCAATACACTAAACAATACATTAATACATAAACCATGCCTCCATACACTGAACAATACATTAATACATAAACCATACCTCAATACTCTGAACAATACATTAATACATAAACCATACCTCAATACACCAAACAATACATTAATACATAAACCATACCTCAATACACTGAGCAATACATTAATACATAAACCATACCTCAATACACTGAACAATACATTAATACATAAACCATACCTCAATACACTGAGCAATACATTAATACATAAACCATACCTCAATACACTGAAAAATACATTAATACATAAACCATACCTCAATACACTGAACAATATATTAATAATCAAACCATACCGCAATACTCTGAACCATATCTTGATACACCGAACCATATCTTGATACACCGAAACATACCTTGATACACTGAACCATACCTTGATACACTGAACCATACCTTGATACACTGAACCATACCTTGATACACTGAACCATACTTTGATACACCGAAACATACCTTGATACACTGAACCATACCTTGATACACTGAACCATACCTTGATACACTGAACCATACCTTGATACACTGAATCATACGTTGATACACTGAATCATACCTTGAAACACCGAACCATACGTTGATACACCGAACCATACCTTGATACGCTAAACCCCACCATAACACACTTAACACGAGGTTCCAAACCTTTTCCAAGAAGCGACCCTCTTCCAGAAATCGACAAAAAATCGCGACCCTTCAAAGTAAAAACAAAATTCCTGATCAATGTGATGTTTGCCCCTGTTTTTCAGGGACATGTTATGCAATCAACGGGGACTTTCCCCCAAGAAATTTTTGAAAACTAAAAGCCCGTAGAGCGTAATTCTGACGATTCAAAATCTCCTTCAAAAATCAAATCTCTTTGGTTTTTGAAACTGTGAACCGCAATCGAAAATTATCAAATTATGATGTAATTTAGCTAAAACATGAGCACCAAAGGCGCGTTTTTGAATTTTTTTAAGAATAATATGCCCGAAAGCGAAGAGGTCCTCCCCCAAGAGTTACTAAGAATTTTCACTTAATAAATTTTCAAAAAGTTTTCAGACTAGCCCGCGACCCCAAGAGGTTAGAAACCCAGGCACTGAACCATCCCAAAATACCAAATCTTCGATACACTAAAACATACGATAGTACACTATAACAAGCTTTATTGAGTTCAAATTCAAATATTTCAAATTTAAGCGGGGAGGCAGGGAACTCTCTTTGTTTTATTCAACTTTATTTGTTAACTTTTTCATAAACATAAATTTTTTCATCATAACATTTAGTTTCAACACTGCTGATAGACTATATATATATTTAAAAATATACCACTTTAATCGGGGTATACTTCAACTTAAGGGATAACATAGTATAAACTAAGACACGAATCTATCAATAGTTTAATGATTGAATGGCAGTAAATTAAAAAAAACTATAGAGAACTGATATATCTTTTAATACATCGGCAAAGATATATACATTTCTTTGATTTTTAGGCAAAAGTTTTTTATCTTTTTTTTCTCATAATTTTGCAGATTCAACTGAAGAAAGGCGAAATACAAATGGTCTGTTAGATTTCCAGAGTTCTAGTCTGAATAATAGTAAGAAGAAAAAGAAAAAAAGACGACACAGGTAGTGTTGGTTCTTGTATTTGATAAAGTTAGACACAATGTCATACACCTACAACGTCAGACAATGTCATACACCAACAACGTCAGATACAATGCCATACACCAACAACGAAATCGTCATACACAATGACATATATCAACAAGCTCATACAACTTCAGACATATTAATATTCATCACCTTGCGCCATACACCAACAACGTAAAACTCAACGTCATACGTCAACCACTTTAAACACCAACAACGTCAGACATCAACCACCTCATACACCACAAATGTAAAATACGTCCTACATCAACCACTTCATACACCAACATCGTCAGGCAGAACGTTATACATCATGCACCAACATCGTCAGACAGAACGTTATACATCATATTACCAACAACGTCAGACAGAACGTTATGCATCATACAGCAACAACGTCAGACAGAACGTTATACATCATACACCAACAACGTCAGACAAAACGTTCTACATCAACCACTTCATACACCATCAACGTCAGACACATCGTTCTACATCAACCACTTCATACACCATCAACGTCAGGCACATCGTTCTACATCAACCACTTCATACACCATCAACGTCAGGCACATCGTTCTACATCAACCACTTCATACACCATCAACGTCAGGCACATCGTTCTACATCAACCACTTCATACACCATCAACGTCAGGCACATCGTTCTACATCAACCACTTCATACACCATCAACGTCAGGCACATCGTTCTACATCAACCACTTCATACACCATCAACGTCAGGCACATCGTTCTACATCAACCACTTCATACACCATCAACGTCAGGCACATCGTTCTACATCAACCACTTCATACACCAACAACGTCAGACACAACGTCATACATCAACCACTTCATACACCAACAACGTCGGGACTCTATTAATATATATATTATTTCCCACAACGGGCACCTTGTAACAAATGCCTGATATATTTATTTACCAAACAATGTATTCTTTGTAACTTTAGGACGATATTCACATCATACCAACTGGATGAACTGGAAAAATCCTTTAAAGATGCTCACTACCCGGATGTTCAAACACGTGACATGTTATCACTAAAAACTGGTTTACCAGAAGATCGAATACAGGTAATCACTTCACCTTATTCAGATTATAAAAAAGGGAATTTCCCACCAATTGGCCAATTTCGAAATCGTCAGACACCCGAATGAGACTGAAATAGTATTGACGATAAAATTTGGTTGGTACAATGCAATGGGAAGAAAATGCTTATTCTTACTCTGTAAAAGCTTTAATGATCCACAATTTATGACCATTATGTTAGGTTTTAATGACTTTATTCGTTTTGAGTATGAATTCTGCCAAATAAATAATACAACCAAAATACTAATTTCGTAAATGAACTCATCTTCACAATGTTAATCTATTACGATCTTCGGCTTATACCATGACTCTAACAGTTGCCTTTCATGTATCACGGAATACATCGATTTGGTTGGATCGTGCGCCAGCGAAGACAGCCAATCACAATGATAACAGACTTTTTGTCGAGGCCTCTGATTGGCTGTGTTTGCTAGCGTACAATCTAATCAAATCACTGAAGTCAATGTATAGTCTAAGCCAACGTCGTAATAGCTTGGCATTGTGAAGATGATATGAACAGTGCTAGTGGGATTGTAGATTGGATTATAATCATTTTAATAATACTCTAAGAAATCGGCAATAATTGTATTGTAAGTTCTACGATTAAATCGTCTTGGGGATCTGACTTTCACTTGTCTCGTCATTTCCGCTTAAATAGCCATGACGTTTGCCACTGCTCACAATACCTTCAAATATACCTCGAACTGGAAATTTCAATTGCTATTTCCATATATGTCTTTTCAATATATGACAGTGTCTCAAGAAAAGACGATTCGGAAATTTCGGAGATAATACATGGATTTGAAGGCTCAAATTTCGACAGTGCGCTGCGAGCATTGTTACTGATTAGGTTAGCCACTAGGGTTTTATTGGTCAAACGGATAGCGAACTTGTCCCTTTAAACCGATGTTAACGAGATATAATGTTCTGTGAAATAGTAAACTATTGAGATGTAATATTGTAATATGATCATACAACATTACTGACAGCTTACAAACCAGCATTTCATTACCTAATATCATTTTCTACACTGCGCTACAACTTGTCTATTCGCTACAATACGCTTTATTAGGCGGAAAATAAATGCTTTTCGTGTAAACCGTATTGAGGCGCGGATGGTAGTAAATAATGATGATGAGGTATGGAGACCCGGGGGAATTGAATACTAGCTGTTATTGTCAGCTCCTATTGTCGCTTATCAAAATGGATTGGTAGTAATGTTTGCGTTGTGCAGCACAGTTTCGATTCAGCGGACAATTAGGTATTGAAAGTGTTTTAATTCGGTAGTAGAATCATTTTCTAGAACAAACAGTCGGTTAATTAAGTTATTCTATTGTAACTAACCAATATACACTAAACTAATTGGATCATTATCGTCGGTGTGTTGGATTTGCCAGCCACCAACCTGTATCAGAACCGTTCTAAATTCACAGAGGGTAATGATGTTCATCTCGGACCTCCAACGAGAAGTACCATATGCCCTACTAGGGATAAAATTCTACTATACAGGATACAAGCAATATATAATTACGATAAATCACTCTATAATTAATGTAGTGAGCCCTATTTTAACAGTGAAAATATTTTATTATTGAGTATTACGAATTACGCCATTCGCCCATTTATTCCTTTCACATGGTGCATAAAGTTAAAATATTTTCTTCTTGTCTAAGAAAATTCAAGTTACTTAGTAAAAGTGCAAAATAAGTTCTTTGATTCAAGAAGGGAATAGGTGAAATTTTATTTTTCGTTTTTTTTTTTCAATTAATCAGAAATGTTAGTGGCAGACAAGCTAGTGGATAAGGGAGCCCCCAAACGAACATCAAACTCGCAGTAAATCTGTGAGCACTAGTCTTCACCATCAGAAATTAATTGATTAAATGGAGGTTATTTCAATTCTATTTTATAAAACATAATTTACTTGAGGAATGCGTACAAAACAGCGAACAAATTTATCCTCAAGGCGCCCTTTAATAGCAAATCTGGCGGCAAAACATATTGAAGTAAAACGGTTCATGGCGTTGAAATCCCTAGTCGAGTTTCTGCAATGGCCGCCCGGAGCTTGGCAATAAAATCCAATTAAATTTGTGTTAAGTTATTGGCAACTCGTTTCGCTTGTACGATCATTTGTCTCGCATTCTGTTGACTTAATAGGTAATTCATTTCAGTTGAATGCTGAAGCTATTATAGTAACGCTCGCTTAAATCATTGTTCTAGTTTATTGTCGCTCATATCGTTAATAAAGTGGTTATTACGAACGGTTAACACCATCGCAAAATTGCTTTCAATTAATAAAAAGTGATTTGATGAAATTATCATAGAAATTGAGAATTAGACGTTTATACTAACTAATCAATTTAGATATTAATGTGATGTTTATAGGGTACTAGCTATTCTCGGCTTAGATTAAGTACCCCGTTGAGTGCAGGACTGAATATACGATGACATGCGCACTACGACGTTTTTATGTCACAATTGGAACTTAAATCATAATTCCGTCATGAAAACCAGATTGAAATAATGAGATAACAAATAACTAATTATTAAAGTTAATTGAAAACCAGTAATTAATCAAAGCTATATGGATAGTCCTGTGTGACCTAGTCTATCTGATATATTATTCTTACTGGTATAGGATCGACTGTGCTCTGGGGTTTGATAAATTGTAGCGATTGTCACTGGGTAAGCGTTTTGTCTTTAAGATGGAATAAAAAACCATGTTACCGGGTGTTACTGTTTGTGCTCGTTAACGATCGACCGGCCGTAAAGGCAATAAGATGCATAAAGAACTCCAATGCCAATCCTTTTGGTGAATAAAATTTTTGCCAAAATATTCCATTTGTACTTTTCATAACTCATTTTCTGGTAATAAAATCAGAGACAAATGGAATCACAAAAGTTTTTAAGTGGTCATTCTATAAAACTGGTAATTATTTCGTTTAGCCTAATGAAAATTAAAATGACCATTTTAACACTAGATTGTATCTCTTGGTTTTCAATTACCAGTATTCAGCCAGTTTTTATTTCTCCTCGCTTCATCTATCACTAACTCATCTAACATGAAAAATAGTTCGACAAAACGTTGCGTGCAGATCTTATCAGCTTGTTTAACCAGTTATAAACGGGCCTAATTGTTTAATGCGCAATAATTTCATGATGACTGAGTGATTTGGTTCCGGTGTAAAGTCACGCGAGATCTTGTCGATGTATTTATTTGAGTAGAAAATCATGTCGAACGTTCGCTATCTGGCCACCGAAACTTTTCATTAATTTACTTTGTTAGTTATTACCTGATTGTATGACCCGCTTGGTTGCCATGTTGCTGCCGACCTGATGTTCACGTTGATAACCGACCCGAGATTGTGATCTATCGAAGACTCCATCTATTAGTCATATTACAATACAAATTTCACTTGAGTAATTAGAATAGATTTTTTTTTTGCTGTAAAATAACCATTCATAGGTTACAAAAGGTGAACTTTAACACAGAAGATTGCAGTCAAAGATACTTCCCACTGACAATTGGCTTACAATTTCAATTTTATATGAACCACGTTGTCTATTAGACCCATTTTTTTGGTGGATTTCGAAATAAAAACTTGTGAATTGTGCTTCATGTTTGTTTGGGATTTTAAACTATTTAAAACTTTTGCTGTTAAAAAGCACATACTTGAACGAAACAATTTTGTTGTGGAATTAAATTAATTAAGTTTTTTTCAATGTAATTTCAGGTTTGGTTCCAGAATCGACGAGCTAAATGGAGAAAAACGGAGAAGACGTGGGGTAGAAGTAGTATAATGGCGGAGTATGGGTTATATGGTGCGATGGTTCGTCATTCCTTACCTCTTCCAGATACAATATTGAAGAGCGCCAAGGAGGGTGTGCTCGACTCCACAGCTCCATGGCTTCTGAGTAAGTTATCTCCTTAAGATATCTGCTTACATTAAGTTTCAATTTTCAAATTCGTTGTTTTTTTCTAAAATCATCCCATATTGAAACCCGGATAAATAGCTAAAAATAATCTCATTCTTTTAATTTCAGGTATGTACCGGAAGTCGGTTGATACATCACCTTCCGTTTCTAATGACGTGATGGAGAGACCGGATGTAGAGCAAATTCCACCAAATGATTTCCGATCAGAGAGTATTGCAGCTCTGCGTGCACGTGCTCAAGAATATTCAGCTAAAATTCTCCCCACTCGAACAGACAATATGACCAAATCTCACGAGAGTGACAAACCTGAGGAAAGAGGCATGGATCAAAGTTAGATGATCATAGCCGAATTGGCTTGATAGTGCTTGATTTAATAGTTAAACCAAAGTTTTGATGATATTCGATTAATATTATCACTATTTATTACCAGCGTTATTCGATTTATTTATAATATATTTTATTCAGTTATCAAAAAAGCTTTTTTAGCATAGGCCTATCTTTACTTGGGGTATGTTAGACCAAAGACCAAGACCCAATTCTGACCACAGAAAACTGTCATTGTACCAAGCAATCCATTTGAACACGATAGTTTGGAATTCTCTAGCTCCACTCTGAATCAACAATCATCGAACCTAGTAATGTTCCAGCAGGTGTTATGGTAAGTTCAGAGCAAAACTATCATTGTATCAAACAATCACCTTTAAATCTGATATGCATTTTAGATTTATTCTGGTCATTACACTTAGAAATGTTAAATGAAATATCGGACAGGTCCGGTCTAGTCAATATGCCGACCACAGAAAACTGACACTTTGTAAGAGGTAATCTTTAAGCTAGTTGGATACATAGTTAAGATTGCTTAGTACCAAGCAATCTGCTGGCTGGATGGACACGATGGTTATACTCATTTGTTCCATTATGTCTCTATGCCAACATGTTTTTGGCATGCTGTTCTCGAGTACCTGTCAAACCGCCCAAAACCTTGAAGCACAAAATGGTTGGACGCGATAGGCTATTTCATATACCGTAAAGGTGTAAGCCTATAACTGAACAACCCTTTGAAAGAATCTCAAACTGTACCCAATCACACTTTATACGCTCTTATTGCTAGACCCAGCTTGTTATAGAATACCTGTATATTATCATCCACTAATTATCTCATTAATTATTTATGTTCTTCATCTAATCAGATTGAAATTTTAATTGTTAAAACTTATCTAATACATGTTTCAAATTTTATTTTTGTGTTTTTTATTTGATGGCTGATAGCAACGATTTTCAATTACCTCTGGGCTTTAGGGACTTCGAGTCTGAAACCTTGCCACTTTTAAATAATAAAGCAATTTACGATCAAGGCTGGAGGTTTTTATATACTTTTTAGACGTTAGTGCACCTCCGATTGGAGATTTTTAAGAGGAAGTCTACCTTTGACCCAATCCAAATATTTTCAACCAGTGTGTCACTTAGGACCTCATAGGTTGGATATTGAATCCTAAAGAGGCTGAGTTATTGCTCTTTAGGTTTCGCTATCTCATAAATCGTCGTTCTTATCAAAAAAACGGGTTTAAGTTAACACGCTTTGATTGGTTAGAAATAACGTCAATAGAACGGGACTTCGTTAGAATATATCAATCTCAATTGCCTTTAACAAAACTATTTGTTATTTAGATTCACTGTTGTAGATTTGACTTCCAAAATACTGATTTTTTAGACATACATGTATATCTCACCTGTTATTTTTCTTAGTGGAAGACCACCTTTAATCAAGCTATTTGTCAGCGAGTAATATAGTAATCGACACAATAGAATGATATATTGATTAGAATTCTACAGTCAGCCGATTAATTAGCACCGATACTTGATTGTACTTATCAATAATTATATGACATTTTCATATGCGCTCGTGCATCTAACAATATCGGCGTAGTTACCTGCCAAGTCCACTGAATAGAGATCGGAAATTTCGAAACGAAAGTCAAGACAGGCGTGACGTCAACACGAAATAGTTATATCAACCAATTAAAATCGTCGATACATTCATTAGCCTCACTTCCGTGTTGGCACATGAGCAGTCACGGTTTTCTGTTTTCTGATGTATTAGCGATATAAAGGTAAGATTAGCCGCTCGCTGACAGACGTTTCGATATGATTAGGTTTTAGGTGTCAATTTTCAATATTTTTACCACCCAGTGTTCAGCCTATTGACAATATGACAGGCCGGATACACATTCCGACAAAATCCACGAGCACTTTTACAATACATGTAACATTAGTTGGAATTTTTTTAATAAAGTTTGACGCGGCTCATTTTTCAAGGGTTATTTTATGGAGTTTGTTCGTATAAATTAGTCCAAATCTATAAGCTGACAATAGTATACAGGACCACCCTATATAATAAGACCCACAGTAAGTGTTGTTTGCAGATTTAACCTGTAAACAGACATTAGAACCACAGAGCATATGGGATAATGTGAGAGAATGGGTAAGATTTGTGTTTTGACTAGACTTGTGAGCCGCCTAAAATATGCAGCTAAGACGTCAGCTATTATTGCCACAATGGTGAAATTCAGCATTGGTCTTTTAAGTTAATAAATTCCTTTACAACCACTGGCATCAAAAGGGTATTTTTTGCTCAAAGCGGCGTCTAGCCAGCTGGTGTTATATCAAGCCAGCCACAGCGACCAAAGGTAGCAGTAGACAGCTGATAGACTCCTCAACCATCCGAAATTGGCAAGATGGCTGGCACACGGGTCTAGTTTTGACGATCAGCATTGTACAGTTAAACGATGGCCAAAGGTTTTACTGTTTTTCTTTCAAATCTTCAATTCATACAGACGATATTTTTAAGACAAGGCACCCAAAAGCTACACTTTGGAAACAAACTAAAGCTGTCCTGCACGAGAAGTTATTAAAATTCCAGACGTGAAATTGCAGAAATTGGCTATTACAACACTGCCTCCTCATCTTGTAATCTGTCCACAGATACAAACTATTAATTCACACAAGGTTGTCTATCGGCCCGACCCCCACGGGAATTCAGCTAATAGATTTAATAGGCTTATATTTCCCAAGTTTGTCGACAAACAATTAATTCTGTCACAACGCGTCTAATTACTCAAACGAAGTCAGCATATTGGGAGAAATTCATCATCTTTCTCCTTGACAGTTTGTTACACTGGAGATAGCCCGGTTGAGAATTCTTGACTTTAAATTGTCGAGATTATGTGAACTGCTGTATCATAGCACCAAGCCTGGAGCAAAAAAGAAATTAGAAATTTTCCAGTTCACAGGGACCGTGCTAATAACTCATTGCATAGAATAATATATCAATTTTTCTTTAATTGTCCACCCTTATTCTTGTCAAAAATGTTGATCATCAGCCTTATGAGGGAACCTCTTCTTCTTACCCAAAATTAATGCTCCAAAATGTAAATTCTCGAAACTTTGTAAACTCGGCCTCCCTTTTTTCGCATATTATTTAATATATTTCTTGTGTCGAGAGGTTAAGCCGGTTTCAGACATGACCACCGGTGAGTGAGTTGAGTAACCACTCAACAGAAAGGTATATTGTAAATTGATGAAACGTTGTATAAAATAAAAACAAGGAAGAGTGGTTATGACAGTTGCTGCTATGTTCGGACACTGAGTTATTCGGAATGACCACTGTTCCCAGGTTGGCCAGTGACCACTGATTAACTAAATAACTTTCTGTTGGTCATCTGGGGTGGTGGTCAGTTGTGATTATCGTGATAAGCTGACATGAACTTACAACTTAAGAGGTCATTCCACTGGAGGATAATTCTCGCCTTGCACTCGCAAGTTTGAAAATAAATTGAATGGAGATTTACGTCTTATTGTCTGTTCCTGACTATTAATGGGGAAGAGCAATGCCGTGTAGTGCGTGATGAGATTACAGTTCCTCCACATGCTAGCAAGTTTTCCAGTCCATCGTAATCTTTAATCATTATTTCGTTTTACACATTCCAAAATATTGCGTTCAGCAAACGATTAGCGCACATTCGTATCGACGGCGACCATTCTCTGACAATAATCTCGTATAGAGATGGAAGAAATTCTCCTCTAATTGTTAGGCGGAAGTTACCTCCGCGTTACAAAATATAGTTCGTCAGATGTTAGTTATCTCCCTTGAAGACCCTATCCTCGTAGACAGGAGACGTTTAGGTGTCAGGGCCTAGTCAGATGTCAACAATGGAGGGCGAAAGTAGTCCAATTTATCCACCAGCTGCATTATCAGTTCTATGATTGTCAACTGAGATACCCATCCAATGTCTGCTAATAAACCAGCTAATCCATATGGCGGAATTCCACCACACTTAACCCCTCTAGATATACGTTGAGTCTCAGCAGGTTTTGTCTGATTAAATTTGACGCTCACTCTGCTTGGTCTTTGTCGTTTAGATTGTAACTTTGTTGTACAATTTCGTCTGGTATTGTAAATGGCCGCCGTAGATGCGATTGGATTAGCTCATTTATGTCTTCAATAGTTCTCTTCGAGTTCTGTTTTCTGTAGCTCTAAAAGAGCTCAAAACTAGGACGTAAACTGTTTTCCATTCATATTGTTTCAGTTGATGAGGCTTTTAGAATATATAATACCAAGAACAAATATGGAAGCCTAGACCAAAAACAGATGAACAAAGATGAAAGGCTCGACCAAAGTGTCGACATAGCGAAGTGAATAATCTGCTACAAATTAACAGTTAGTTATTCTTTGATTAACCCTTTACCCACCAAATCAAATCTCTAATCGGCCAAAATAAATACGAAGTATGAAAGACCAGCTATTGATTTCAGCCTCTACAAGTATTTACTTTCAAAATAAACGACGCCATTATTAAATTGTAGAATTATTGGTGGCGCTACCTGTCATCTGATCACGTGATTATAATTTAATTAATTGGCTATAATCGGTTGTTATTCGTGTAATTTGTCGATTGGAAGAATTCAGAATGAGAGTTGGAATTAGGAGCTAACTAAGTTAGTCTGTCGCTGAGTCAATATTTGCCGCTAATTCTATCAGATTCCTAGCGTGACGACAACCCTACGTCTGATCACGGTTGCCATCTGTTCCCGCGCAAAATCGTTAAAAATTATATTAAGACGTATTAATTTAAATGAGAACAAAAGTGAAAAGTTAATGAGATAAATTGAATCATTCTTCTAATAATTAGATCTATCTTTAACTTCACTAGGCTATTAATCATTTACTACAGCAGGGAATTAGTCTAGTTGGAATGTCCACACTTTTAGAACACCTGATTCCACCTTGTCCATGCAAAGTGGAATTTTTTTTCAATTTTCCTTATTACGTCATACT